ATGCACCTGGCTCTCGCTTGGGATTTTTCCCCCCGTAAGCATAAAGAGGCTTAATATCCAGTGTCTGTCTTTTTGGAGTTTGGTTGCTATTGTGCATTTACAAGCGAGCCCTCTTTTTGCTTTTTGCTCTCTTTCCAGAAGCAGGGCTGCTCCTGCCTGGCATGAGGCCCACAGAGCTCACAGTGGGTACGGTTGGCCCGGGCACCTCAGTGCACTCTCCACTCTGCCCTCCCTGGGGCTGGGGAAGGGGCTGCAGTGGGGAGGGCTCCAGAGAGACAGGCGTCAGGGTGTGCTGTGGACACAGACAGTGGGATTTCACACATAAGTAGCTGAGGTTGTTCCTTATCCTTAACGGGGGCGGGCTTGGATCCGTGTGTCTGTTCTGAAACTCATCCCAGCAGACGGCGGCGGGGAGAAGTCAGGTGACCGAAGGTCTGAAGCCCCAGACGGGCGCGTTGTGACACCGTGAAGCCCTCTCGCAACGCAACGGCCTGTGCTTCTCCAAGGGGCCAAGAGCTCAGCAAAACCGGCTGAGTCGGATCCTTAGGAAGGGAACTGTTAAGGGGAAAATGCTGAACTCTGCTGCCGCCCACGAAGCCAGGGGCTCCGGAGACAGCGTGGCCGAGAAGGAAGAGGTGTACTGAGAACCCGCCAGCCTGGCAGGCGGTGCTGGACAGCCTCAGCGAGCATCGAGCATCGCAGGGGACCGCAGGGGACTGACTCCGAGAAAGGGAGGGACGGGAGAGGAGCTGAGCCTGGGGAGGCGCTTGGCGTCCTCAGCTGGGAAGCGGAGGAGAAGTAGGCGAGTCCAGGGCCCAGCAAGCCTGTGCTGTAGCTCGGGATGAAGCACTGCTCAGCCGACCCCCAGGGCCACTCCAAGCTCCAGGCGGCCAAGGAGACACAGCAGGAAGCCAGGACGCCACTCTTCCCATCTGCCCCAGTGGCCCGTGGCACATCTGCAGGGCCACAGGAAGGTGCTTTCAGCAAAAGCAGCCTGGGGGGGGGGGTCCCTGAACCGTAACCTAGGCAACCGCTGTCATCAAAGCCCCACTTCAGAGGCTAAGAATGCATGGCCCAGCCCTGTGAGCACCAGAATCAGTGATCTTTAAAGTCGACTAAAAGCAAGTAAAACCGGAGAGTTTATATAGGTTTCCCCTTAGTTACAGAATCATTTCTTTCTTTTAGAGCCAATGTCATTAATTAATTATAGAATCAAATTATTCATGACTCACAAAAATATCTATGAATTTTAATGTCACTTAGTGCCTTGCAAAAATATTAAGAGCTTTAACTTTGTTTCTCTCATTGAGAAAAATCCGAGTTTTCCTCGTAGTTCATTGAAATTAAGCTGTCTTGGGCTAGCAAACCGCCCTTCCAAGGATACTGAAGCTCCGTGATCTATGGAAAGTGGTGGTCAAGACAATTTGTCAACTGAACTCTTTGATACATGAACAATTCTTCAGGGTGGCGACCAGGGTTATATAACTGCACCCCTGTAGCAACAAAGGTAATTAGTTTGGTCCTGGTGAGGTAAACAGGTGATTCTGTTGATGTGACAAGAGCCAGGCCCTTGAGGTCCTCCGTCTCTGGAAGTCACCTCTTGGTCCACAGAGCCAGGGACGCTTCTAAGACTGTTTGTCCCTTGGGCTCTCTCCTTGGGGTCTTGGGAAGCAGCCATACCCTGCAAGGCTGTTCCAGAGAACCAGAGAAGTGCGTCCAGCCACAACCCTCCGGGTGACTGGGACCAGCCCGGGCCTGGTTCCCACGCCGGGTGGGAGGCAGCTGTGGCATCCTCCACTCCTTCCTGGAAATATCCGGTTCCAGGTGCCCCCCGCCCCGCCCCGCCCGGGGCTCCCATGCCTCTGGCCCGCAGTACATGCACCACCACGATTCCAGATGGCGGGACAGGCTGAGAGTGGCTGGGGATCAGGAGGGGGGCGTCAAGGGTGCTCTCAGGCTCACGGCTCCGCCGGGCTGTCAGAGGCACTGGGCCCGGGGGCCACTGTCGGGGCTCTTCCTTTCTCCGGTGTGGGGACAGAGCGCTTTGGTGGTGAGCATCTGCCAATGCCCACTGCTGAGGACAAATTCATTTCCTTCCTTCCCTGTCTCCTTTGGCCCCATGGAGGATGTGCTTTGGAGGGATCTTTGCCCTGCTCTGTTGCTGCCCTGGGTGGAGATGGGGGTCTGGAGCCCCCAGGGGATTTAGAGAGCTGGTCAGGGAGGGGCCGGGACGCCCTGGGCCTTCTGGAGGGAGGCGAGCTGGCCTCAGGCTCAGAGGTGGGCAGGAAGCAGCGCCTGCCCCAGCAGGGCCTGCGGGAGCTGGGAGGCCAGTCACAGCGCGGGTGTGGCCCAAGGTCCCCCCTGGTGTTCGCCGTGTGAGGCCAGCATCAAGCAGCTGGCTGGCACCCTGGGCAGGGAGGCACCTTGGCGATGGTTTCTGAAGCCCGAAGACACAGCCAAGGGTGCAGGCTTGGAGGAGGATCGGGGTGGGGCACAGGAGTGGAAGTGGCTTTGTCTCCCTCAGGCCGGTGGGGGCGTGGGCAGGGCTGGGTCGTGTGCAGCTCCAGCTTGTGACAGTAGGGAGTGTTCACTGCACACTTCAGGGTGGGCAGACCGCTCATCTGCGTATTTTTGGAACAGCTCACTTTGAGGCAGAGTTTGCGACTCTGGTGTGAAGCTGAACGGAGCCTGGGAAGCTTCTCCCTGGTTGCTTGCAAAGCCAGCCCAAGCTGATGTAAACTGGGTTTTGTGTGTGTGAATGTAATTGCTTTAAAATATGCCTCAGGGCTCCCTGACTAACAACCAGACCCCTGGGCTGGAGCTCCGGGTCCTCCACCCTTGCCCAGCAAGCTGGCTCCCGCACTGGAAGACACACCACGCTCTCTCTCTCTCTCTCTCTCATCACTGCCTTGGCCTGGCTGCCCAGGGGCCTGCCCGTGCCAGCTCCAGTGTGCACTGTGGCAGACCTGTCCCTGCCTCTTCCCTGAAACATATGTCACCTGTGAGGTCTGTGTCACTGGAGTATGTGTCTCCTTGGGTTCTTCCGCCCAGGACACAGTGCCCAGGTTTCGGGGAGACCTCAAGTGAGAAGGGCTGGATGCATCAGCTCATGTAAAGCGGGAGGGGATTTCCCCCAGCTTCTCGAAGTTGTGGGCCCTTCCACCTGCCCCACCCTGAAGAACGGTCCCCAGGGACTCACTGCCCGGGTCCCTCTCTCTGCAGTAGAAGTTTCTCTTGTCACACACTGGAGGTGGAGCCACCACTGAATGTCCGATTTTCCCAGGGGTGGCCCAGTTTCCTTGGTACTTGGGGTTCTCCTGCTACTTCCTGCCAGCCAGGACTCAGGGAGGACGGGCTTTGGGTGTGAGCTTCACAACTCAGGAGACAGCAGCCTTCTCCTGCCTGGTGCCTGCTGTCGGCCAGCTCAGCATGGCCTGGTGTCCAATAAGTGTGCACACGCATGCACACACTTGCACATACAGGCCCAGTGAGGCTAAGGAGATGCTGTTAGCCAGAATTCAATGCCTTCTGAAGGACTCTCCGAAACTTTCCTGTGCTATGCACAGTTGGAATAAAACCAATTTGGTGGGGCTTTATCGGAGGCTCCCGTGTACACAGGAGGATTGCAAACTTCACAGAAAGCACCACAGTATGATATGCAGACTCTCCGCTATTTAACACTAGTGTTTCACTCAAAACACGACTACAGAGATGAAGCCCAGCTAACTGGAGGCACAGAATATTTTATTATTTCAAGATAAATATTTAGGTGCATAAACTAAATACCTGTGCCTGAATATTTGTTAGCTATTCAGAACAGAATCAGAACAGAATAAGAACAGCCTCCTGTGGCTTTGGGGCGACCTCTAGCCCACACAGCCCAACGACCGAACAGCTGTGGCAGTTGCCTGAGGAGAAGCAGAGGCAGAGATGCATTTGGCAGGGACATCGGCCCGGACAGGACAGCGAGAGTTGGCGTCCGCCAAGGGCCAAGTGAGAGCAAGGGGTGCTGAGCTGGAGTGGCCCGGCTGCCCCTGCCCGCCCCGGCCTCCTCCACCCCTCACCCGGGTTGGGTCCGGGGACGCAGAGCTCAGGTCCTCATCTCTAGCTTGTTTCCTTTTCCTCTGGCAGGGGTTCTAGGACAGCTCTGGGCCGGGCAACTGTGGGAAGTGGGTGAGCTGGGCGTGGTGGGGCACACGTGCAATCCCAGCACTTGGGAGGCTGAGGCAGAAGGACTGCTGTGAGTTTGAGGCCAGCCTGGGCTACATAGTGAGGCCCTGTCTCAAAATATAATGAAACAACAACAAAAACCAGGTCCTTCGTGAATAAGCTAAGTCCCATGAGTGTGGGAAATGTGCCTGACTTATTTACCACTTTATCCCAGTGCCCAGCCTAGAAACCACCCTGCAGTAGGTCCTCCACTAACATTTGTGGAATATTTATTCACAACCTGTGATGGTCCGTTTTCTGTTGCTATAACAAATGCCAGATGCTGGATAATCTGTAAAGAGAAGAGGTTCATTTAGCTCAGTTTGGGAGGCTAAATGCCCATGGGCAACCCCATGGGGTCAGCCCTGGTGAGGGCCTCTGGCCACATCCCAACACGGCAGCTGACACCATGGTGGGAGCATGAAGGAGAGGAACGAGCAGTCACGGGGCAGACAGGGTTCGGGAGGCCCCGGGTGAAGCTCTTTGTGTGACAATTTGCCATCACAGGAACTAGCTGGGGTCCTAAGAGAACGCCACTGACCACTCCCCCCAGGGCCCCACCTCTGGGAGGCTCTGCTGCCCAGCACTGCCACCCGAGGGACCACTGTTCCGGTGCACAAGGCTTTGCGTGACACTCCAGGCTCACACCCGGGAAGACATCTGGGATTCCTACTTCCCAGGCATTGGTGTCTTTTGCCTTGTCACAGATTGCTGGGGCTGGTGGGCTCCATCCAAAGAGCCCCAAAGACTGTCCTTGACTGAGTGCCATCTTGTGTTCCTTACAGAGCCTCCTGCCTAACATGTCTGGGGACTACAGCTACGACTCCACATCTCCTGTGGACGACTACGTGGCCTTCAACCTCACCGATCTCTTCTGCAAGAAAACCAACGTCAGGCAGTTTGCCAGCCACTTCCTCCCGCCCCTGTACTGGCTCGTGTTCGTCCTGGGCACCGTGGGCAACAGCCTGGTCGCCCTTGTCTACTGGTACTGCACGAGAGTGAAGACCATGACCGACATGTTCCTCCTGAACCTGGCAATCGCCGACCTTCTCTTTCTGGTCACCCTCCCCTTCTGGGCCATCGCTGCTGCTGACCAGTGGAAATTCCAGACCTTCACGTGTAAGGTGGTCAATGGACTCTTCCGGATGAACTTCTACAGCTGCGTGCTGCTGCTCATGTGCATCAGTGTGGACAGGTACATCGCCATCGCGCAGGCCATGAAGGCACAGGTGTGGAGGCGGAAACGCCTCGTGTACAGCAGAATGGGCTGCTGTGCTGTCTGGGTGCTGGCCGTGGCGCTCTGCCTCCCAGAGGTCCTGTACAGCCAAGTCAAGAGGGAGTCTGGAGTGGCTGCCTGCACCATGGTGTACCCGGGGGGCGAGAGCGCCAGAGTGAAGTCCGCGGTCCTGACCCTGAAGGTCGTCCTGGGCTTCTTCCTGCCCTTCGTGGTCATGGCCTTCTGCTACACCATCATCATCCACACCCTGAAGCAGGCTAAGAGGTCGTCCAAGCACAAGGCCCTCAAGGTGGCCACCGCCGTCCTCACCGTCTTCGTCTTGTTGCAGTTCCCCTACAGCTGCATCCTGCTGCTGCACACCGTAGACGCCTACGCCGTGTTCATCTCCAGCTGCGCCACGTCCATCAACATCGACCTCTGTCTCCAGGTCACTCAGACCCTTGCCTTCTTCCACAGCTGCCTGAACCCCATTCTCTATGTTTTTGTGGGTGAGAGGTTCCGCCGGGATCTTGTGAAAACCCTGAAGAACTTGGGGTGCATCAGCCAGGCCCAGTGGGTGTCCTACACCAGGCGACAGGGAAGCCTGAAGCTGTCATCCATGTTGCTGGAGACGACGTCTGCAGCGCTGCCCCTGTGAGGACCTTCCCCTTGGAGGCCCTCGGTCCTTCCGGCAGCCCTGGGACAGGCAGGCCCTGTTTCCCACTGAGAGACCAGAGGGTCCACAGGGTAGAAAGAAGTGAGTGGGGAACGCAGAAAGGGGTAACTGAAAAGCATTATCACGTTCAGCCTTAACTTTCCACAACTGACTGCTCCAGAGTCCACCGCCGGGCACATTCCGGAGGAGGACGGAGAAGCAGGGGCAAGGTCCTGGGTTCGAACTGCTGACCTGGAACAGCCTCGGGGTGTCTCAGTGCTCTGGGAGCTGTCCTGGCTTCAGACAGCAAAGCCTTGCCGGACGCGTCCGTTTCGGGACGTCTCCCTTGTGGGTTTGAGCCTGAGCCCCCCACCAGCTCCCACAGTTTCTCTCTCTAGAACCTTTCCTAACAATCGCAGATCCCTTTGCTCTGGTGCCTTTGGTCCCTGGAGGTCCTTACTTCTCTTTGGAAGCCAAGTGCAGGACTGGTCAGGGAGCCCCCGGACAACTGACCACACCCACAAGCCACCAGTCTCTCGGCTGCCACTGCATTTCCGGGCCTGCGGGAGGCCTGGGCTGCCACACGTGGCTGTGGGGCTGTTCTGGCCGCTGGTGCCGAGTGATGCACAGCACGACCGGCCCAGCCCTGTCTGCGCCCTCGAAGGTGGCCTGGCTCTGTTGTTCTCTTCCAAGGCTGCTGGAGGGAGGCCTGCGTGGGCTTCTTCCCCTTTCCTTCCTCTACAGTGCCTGCATTTTGTTAGCTTTTTGCTCTAGACATTAGGCTGAAAAATACATGTGATGTAACTGACTTTTGCTTTGTGCCCTTGTTTTAACTACTTGGCAAATTCATCACATTTGAAAACACTTTAGACATTGGAAAAGTGCTTTTTAATGTATATTTAAAACATTCATCGGTTGCTCCTTTCTTTCCCCTACCCTAGTATTTTATGTGGATGTAATTATGGGGTCAAATAGACAAATCATGTGTGGGAAGAGGAAGAGAAGGAGGTAAGAAAATAAAATCTCCAATAAAACTGTCTTGGCTGAACAGTTTTTAAAAATTCTTTTCTCTGGACAAATTTACTTCTCAAGTTTTCCCCCATTAGTCAAATGGGATTTCAAGCAGGCAATTGGAGCAGTGCATAAAGCCCCAGGGCTTGCCACTTTCTTCAGCAGAAGTGTCTGGTTTCCCCAGGGTATAGCAGATTTCGGGGGCCTCAGTCCTGACACCGTCCCTGCCCAAAGGGGACACAAAAACAGCGGACCCTGCTGTGTTAGCCTTCTTCTCCCTGCCCACAGAACAGTACCAGGGAGGACCAAGGGGCAACACGGGGGCTCACGAACCCAACCCCACGGGTGGCTGTGTGCGTAGTGGGTGGTAGGAAAGGTCAGGTCCAGGAGCAGCACACCAGGTGGGCCCAGGACAACAGCACCACGTCTGTCGTCAGAGGGAGGGCGCCTTCCCCGAGTCACGTGACCACCCATGTGATTGTCATTTCCAAGAGGAGACTGGGGGTCTGGCCTTCCGAGAACTTGGGAGAATAAAGAAACAGGAGACAGGCTTAGGAGCAGTGTGTGGCCAGGTGGGCAGACACAGTGGAGCTTGGGGAACCAAGACTGAACACCATGATGGAGACTCAGCATGAGGGCCAAGGGCAATGACACTCTGGCCGATGTACATTGATTGGAAAAAATGCTGGGGACTCCATTCCCCCTGAGGTGTTTAAAACAGAAATGGGGGAACTGGCAGCGCTGCCTTGTACCCCAGTGCCTGGCAACCACACCTACTTCTGAGAACTCCTTCTAGCGCCCCATCCCGGTTGGGTGTCCTAGGCCCAGCGTGCACCGAGATAGATCAGGGATGTGCCGTAACTCTGTCACATTTCAAAGATCTGCACTACCCTTTGTGGATCAGGTGTTTGCTTTTCAAATGATTACCTAAACAGGGCAGATAAAAATGGTAGCATTAATTAGAATTTTACTTTTAAATTAAACCTGATTTCAGTAACAGGTTAATGGCGAAATGGAAACAGGAGGGTGAGCAGCAAGGTCTTCGAGGAGCTGGGGCCCACTCAACGCTCCCAGGAAGGGGGTTGTGAGTACTTTTGACCTGGAGATGAAGGAGGCCCTTAATAAAGACCCGCACTTTACCTTGCCTCTGTAAGTGAAGGTTAAGACATGAAATGCAACATGTCTTTGTTATTTTTAAGTGGGCTTTTTAAATGAGACTTAAACTGAAACAACTTTAAGTCATACATCACACCACACGTACACAAATACTGCTTGGAAGTAGACCGCTTAGATGATAAGATTTGGTCTTTTGGGGCTGTCAAACACGCAGAATATCCATGCACCCATCCATGCACCCATCCATCCATCCATCCATCCATCCATCCGCTTATCCATCCTCCCACCTGCCCATCCATCCATCCCATCCCCACCCACCCATCCACATCAGCTCCTGTTTTGGGAGGAGTGGGCTGCAAGTCCCCTCCCAGATTCCCCAGGGGCTTGTGGTCAGGACGTGGGTCCCCAGGGATATGGAGGGTGGGCATCGGCCCCTAAGCCTCTGAGAAGGCTGAGGTCTGGGCCCTGGTCCCCACAGCCTGGCTTTGTGGTCCACAGCTGGGCCTCCCCTGGGAGTCTGGGCACCTGCATGCTAGGCGGGGCAGATGTCATAACCGACCTCCTTTGCCAGGGGACAGAGCTGGACCTCAGTGAGCACCGGCAGCGCTGGACACGAGACTGGCGGATGTGACCCTTGCTCTGCCCACCTTGCTGTCCGACCTTGCCTGATGTGGTTGGACCGCCAGGCCCTGCTGTGCACGGACCAAGCCTCACTCTGTGCTGGGGACCAGGGCCGGGGACAGGCTCGGGCTTGGCCTGGGTGACTAAGTTGTGACACATGACAGCCTAGGCCCGGGGCAGCATCCTTGCACACACACACACACACACACACCTCCAGCCCAACTCGTGGTTCCTTCACCAGGGAATTGCGACTCCACAGCTGTGCCGTCTTCTAGGCCATGGCGTCCCCGACGCTGGCTTTCGTCCCATCCCACTTTGTCCCCTGCCTCTTCTGTCCTTGCTCCTCTCACAAACCTGAGCCTGGATTGGCAGTGACCGTCCGGCCCCGTGTGGGCGGCAGCTCTGGGTCACACTCGCCGACGTGCAAAGGGACCGGGAAATGGCCGTGCTGCCCCCGCTGGGCCCTGCTGTCGCTTGGGCAGGCAACTCGGGGATGTCCCCGTGGACGGCGGTCACGCAGTGGGAAGCGCTGAGACCAGAGGGCGTGGTGGCCGCCAGTGACTGCGCCAGGAGGGGACTGGGGCACCGTCGGGCAGAACGGGACTGGCTTGGGGTGCGAGTAAGCGGGGGTGAGGACAGGGGAGACTGGCCAGGCTTGTGTCAGGCTTGCGGGGTGGTGTCGGAGGAGAACTCCACAAAACAAACCACGACTGAAACGTCTGCCCCTCACTGAGCCTCATTCACAAACGAGAAAGTGACCTAAGAATATCTGCTGGGTCCCAGTTACCTGCATCGCACAATTTAGTGGCATAAAACGATCGTGATTTCTGGGTGCCCACATTTTGTGGGTCAGGAACTCGGAAGGGATTTCTCAGGGAGCGGCGCCCAGAGGCTGGCCGGGCCGGGTCTCACCTAGGGGTGTAGGTGGAGGTTCAGACTGTGCAGCTGGCAGGTGATCTGGCTGCCAGGTGGCACCGGCTCACACATGGCCCCGCTCCTGCGGTGTGTGCACTTGTGCGGCCGCTGGCCTCCCTGGAGAAGGGTCTCAAGGGAACGGGGTGGGGGGAGTTGCCATCCTCCTCTGACACAGCTCCTGTCACTCGTCCTCTCCTTGCCCAGTCAGAATAGTCACAGCTTCATGAGACCCACAGGGAGGGCTGTGGATTCTACTCCTGTGGCACAAGGTCAGCAGACCTCAGCCATGCTCGAAACCCCCTGCACTTTGTACACTACCTTGCCTAGTGGCACCAGGGGTTGAATTCATGTCTTTCTGATCCTGGACGCTGACCGGCTGGATTCTCTGTACACTTCTCCTGGCACCATTTGTGGAAGAGATTGTCTTTTCCCCATTTGTGTCCTTGGTGCCTTTGTCAAAAAAACAAGCACACATTGATCTATTTCTGGGTTCATGATTCTGTTCCACTGCATCTATTTTTATACCAGTACCACACTATTTTGATTATTATTGCTTTGTGGTGTTTTTGTGTGTGTGTGTGTGTGTGTGTGTGTGTTGTTGTTGTTTGTTTTGATAAGAGAGACAATTTTACTCATGTTGCCTAAGTTATCCCCAAACTCCGGGACTCAAGTGATCCTCCTGCCTCAGCCTCCCAAGTAGTTGGGACTATAGGAGTGTGTCACTGTGCCCCACTTATAGTATATTTTGAAGTCAAGTGTGATGCTTCCAGCTTTGTTCTGTTTTCTATAGGTTTCTTCAGATATCCAGGGTCTTTTGTGGTTCCACATAAATTTTATTTCTGTATTTCTGTGAAGGAAGCCATTGGTATTTGGATAAGGGTTGTACTGAATGCATTGGGTAGATTGCACTGGATGTTTCAGTAGTAATCGTTGTGATGTATGAATATGTGGTATCACATTTTTCCATTTATTCATGTCCTTTTCAACTTCTGTCATCCATGCCTTTTACAGTGTTCACTGTGAGATCTTTTATCTCTTTGGCTAAACTTTTCTCTAGGCTTTTAAAATAGCTATCAGAAGTGGGGTTGCTTTTGATTTCTTTCTCAGATAGTTCACTATTGGTATCCAGAGATGCTACTGATTTTTATATGTTGACTTTGTAACCTGTAACTTCAATGAATTTATTTATTCTAATAGCCTCTCTGGGTAAAGATTCAAAGGAAGGGAGTGGTTTTCCATTGATGAAGGATCTGCCAGTTCTCAACAGGCCCCTTGAATAAAAATATAAGCATTAAAAATTGTGGTTGTAGAAGTATTTTACCTGCAGAATAGTTTCATGGCAGGGAATTCATTTAGAAATGTCCTCCTCGACAAGAATAACATCTCCCTTGCTGCACCCAGTGCCGGGCCAGCGGGTGAAGGAGGAAGTCCCTGTCCACCCGTCAAGGGCACTGCTGAAGTGGAGGACAGACCGATCCACCCGTGAGCCCTCTCCTCCCATCCTAGGCCCGGCCGTGGAGATGCAGCAATGCTCCCCAGCACCTTCTCGGGGTCCCCGGTGACTGGTGAGTGACCAGACCCGGTGAACCAGTGCTGATGTGGGAGATACCACCTCTCGCTCTGGGTCCCCCGCCACTAAACGAGCGGTGGAGCTTGGAACAAAGGAGTGGTGGTGAGTCTTGGGCTCTCCCCTGAGGCTCTGTACCCAGATGTTTGGTAACCAGAGACCCACGCAGGACTGGTGACTTCCCTGTGACCCTTCCACAGGGCCAGCTGGGGGTGTGTATGATCTCTTCCTCAGAACACCCAACAGTTCTGTGGGGGACCGCACGGGGGTGCACAAGCTGTTGTCATAGTGACCTTCGGTGCCACACACAGAAGCCACTTGTGGGCAGAGGCCTGTGCGGGCGATGCTGCTGCCGGCCTGTTCACAAATGTGGCTTCGGTGCAGCCCCCGCCCCTGGTGATGTTCAGTCAGGGCTCCAGGGCTTTTGTGCTCACCCGGTGGTTCTCACGGATGTGGCCGTTGGCTTTAGCCACGAGCACTACCATTTCTTCTCTGTTCCCCTCCTCCAACAACAAAGCCAGCTTCTGCCACCCAGGCTGCAGCCTGGCCTCCGTGTCTCGGGGAAAGCCCTTCCGGTCACACCCTCTGCCTGCCCCGCTGACCTGGAAGTGGGGTGTCCGGGCCTGGGGAACGTCTCCTTCTGCATCGGCCGAGAGCGGGCGCTGGGCAAGGACAGGAGGAACCAGCTTCTCCGACTGCGGCCGGAGGCGGGAGCGGCTGGCCTGCGGAGGGAGGACACGCACCCTGGGTCCCTCGGGCCCTGGTCAGCCGAGGGGCTTTGGGCTCCAGGTGAGCTCTGCACTAACCACACAGCAGCTGAAGTGCGTGGGCGCCGGGCAGCCTGTCCTCCCCGGAGCCCGCGAGGGCCACAGCCCTCCCCCAACCTGAACCCTCTCCGGCCTCCCGAATCGCAGTGCTTTCACCCTGACTTTAGGCAGCTTCAGCGTCAACTGTGGCCTCAAAGAAAAAGCAAAAACAAAAATGTCAGGTAAGAGGGCCGAAAACCAAGACCAGACCAGGCCATAACAAGCCTTTACTAGGGGAACCAACCTACCGGGTCGTCTCTGAACAAAGGAGAGACAAAAGCAAGATGGTAGGGGAAGCAAGTGCCTTTTATAGGGGCGGGGGTGGAGCTTGTAGGGGCTGAGGCGGGGCTGAGTGAGGGAGCGGCTAGGGACTGGAGGAGCCGGTGACGTCAGTGGTTGCCAGGAGGAGAGCAAGCGTCAGGTTACTCTTTTGGTGGGAGTAGGGGCATGCTGGAAAGAAGGTAGCTGTTATATACAGCAGCCACCCTAAACTGGAGGGAAATCTATCAAAAAGTAACCCGTTTTCTCATTCCGGGTGACGGGTTTCACCGATTTGCTCGTCAGATGTGTGTGGGCAGAGTTTCCCGCGCATCTTAAACCGAAGCGGCTGACCCTGCAGCGTGTGTCCTTCCGGGTCGCCGGGGAGGTGCTGGGCCCTCAGCGCTGGGGACCCAATGAGGCCGGGCAGGCCGAGTCCTGGGGGGCCTGGGGTGTGGGCTTGGAACTCGTCCGGCAGGGACCCGGTCCCCTGGGGTCACTCGGGGTTTGGGGCGGTGGGGTGAACGCGGGTGGACCTGGGGGCCCCGGCGGAGGGTGCGCATCAGGGCTGTGACCGGCGCCCGTCCCCGTGCCCGAAGCTCCTCCTGCTGACTTGCCTTGGGGCTTTGGCAGCTTCTGTCCCCGCAGCGGTGGCCTCTGAGCTGACCCAAAGCACCGCACCGGGCCGCTCCGGGGTCCTCATCGACTCGGGACCTGGGAGCCCCTCCTGCTGTGCTGTCCGGCGCGCTGCTCCGAGCTCCGAGCCCGGGGTGGCGAGGAGATGGGGATGAGCCAGACCCCGGCCCTAGCCCGGGAGGGACAACTGCCCCGCTGCTGGGGGTGACTGAAGAAGGAGCCAGGAGAGAACCCGGGGCAGGTGGGGGCGGAAGAGGAAGGGAGGCTGGGTGCTGGCGGGGCCCTTGCGGCAGAGGCACTCATGGGAGGCCCCGCATCCCGAGCTCATCCAGCCAGGCCAGGCTCGAGCACAGCGTCCCGGCAAGGGCGGGGCAGCCTGCGGGGAGCCGCGGCCACGGCCTCGCCAGCCGCCAGCCCGCGTCTTGATGTAAAGACGCTCCGCTTCCCGACGTGTTTGTGCGTCTGTCTTATCACGAGTCTTTCAACAGACTGATGGACGAGGCTGCTGTAAATGTCATAGTGTTTATTTAAATGCTGAGGTTAAAAAACATTTCCAAACGGCTTAGCAGGTGCTATAAGGAACACGTTCTGGGCTACAAGTTTCTCGGGCCCCACTGTGGGCTGCGGTGCTGGTATCTGAGGTACTTTGGCCATTCTTTGGCAGGAAAGACTCAGCGCCCATCCCTAAGGCCACGGAAGTGAGGGGCAGTAAAGTGCATTCCGATTTCCAGCCTCTGACCTGAGGCCTGGTGTCCCCAAGCCCAGGGAAGCGTCTCTGGGTAACATGCAGGAGGCCCTAAGGAAGCTGTCTTTCTGGCTTTGCCCTGTCAGAGATGCTTCCTGGAATCTAACGATCTGCTTTACTAAGAAAAGTGCTTCTGATGGAGAGGGGAACCCTTGGCAGAACAAAGACAAGAGACAGACGCCTCTCGATGGCCCTTGTTCTCAGCACTGCGGACGGCTTCTCCCTGCTCCCCAACCCCGAACCAAGAACGGCTTCTTGGCTAAACGGCTCTAGGTGGATTTTAAAAATGAAACACCTATAAAATTCTATTGGCGAGCGCCCAGTCAATTGGCGATCCCACCCTTCCGGAGTATTTCCTTCTGTCTGGCTGGAATGGCCTCGCCACTGACGGGTTTCAGAAACACCATTCCTGCACTTCTGAGTATGTGACGCGGCTCTGCACCGCTACTGCCCGAACCCCGTGAGGCTTCCGCGCTGGATTCTGCCTGCTTCCCGCGTCCACCTGGAGTCTAGGGCCCCAGGCTGGGTGCTCTGCGGGAACCAGGCTGCCTTGGTGGTGGACATGTCGGGCTGGTTGCTGTGTTTCCGGGCGAGGCCTGCGAGGGGCGGGTAGTGACCTGGAGCCTGAGGTCACCTGCTTGTGACTTCCGGTGTAGTGTCTAGCTGGGGCGATGGCTGTCAGCAGTGATTCAATTGTCATTTGCATTTCTAAAAAATGACCTAAACTCCAAACCTTAGTACAGCTGAGAACTGTTTAGAGTGAGAATAAAGCTATGTGTAAAATCCAGCCTTAAACAGGCCAAGCGGTCTTGAGCTACACAGTGCACTGCAGATTGGATCTGAGCAGAAAGCTAGTGGCATGTAAGTGTCCACTCAGCACAAGAAATGTGCATGCCGAGGCCAGGAGGAAGTGACGGTGGAAGTGCCCCAGGTGGCCGTGGGCAGCCCCGACATGCAGCAGAGGCCCGACTGTCCTCCAGGAGCGGTTCTGGGTGGCTTCACGACAGCCAGGTGGCCTGGGGACCTGCAAGCAGTCCCTGCTGTGCCGAGTGACAGATGCTCAGGTGACGCCCAGGCCTGGGCACAGCAGCTGCTCAATGCAGGTGGCTCCTGCTGCACAGGGGCGGGGCGTCCACAGAGGGCCATCAGCGAGGCCAGAGTCCCCAGGGCATCCTGGGAAAGTCGGCACTGGAAGAAGATTCCAGGCTGTCACTCTCCTGTCAGCCCCTGTCTCATGGGGAGCAGCCAGCTTCCAGTGGCTCTGTACAATAGGGCAGGTGGGCTTGAAGCCAGATACCCTGCTCCTGAGCTTAGGGCTAGGGGCATGTGGTGAGGACACTGGAAGCTGGGAAGTTTTCTGCCTCATGCCGAGCAGCCATGGCCCCGACAGGGTGTGACAGGACACCTGGGGACTCAGTAGAGGCCGCTCCAAGGACAGAGGGCATAAGAGGCCTGGCTCTTCTGCAGGTTCTTTCCTCTCGCTTGTGACCCGCACACGGCCTCCTTGCTGGTGTCGGGACTGCAGCTGGGCACCCGGTGGGCTGGGGTCTGGGCTGGACCTGGCCTGGACTCCTGACGAGGAGTCACGGCTCTGGGGGGACAGGGAGGTCAGGGAGACCCTCAGCCAGCCCGGCGGGGCTCTGTCCTCACCCCTGGCCACAGCGGGCTGCTGTGTCTGTCATACACTCTGCACAGCTGCGGACGTACCAGGGGCTGGAGTGCAGGGGGCCGGCCTCGCCGGGGACAGGGACCATTAAGCCAGAGCTCCTTGTGGGGCGGGGAGCAGGAAAGGAGCCCAGGGGAGGGAAGGCCGTCTGCTTCCTGTCAGGGAAGGAAGTGGGCACACGGGGTGGGGCACTGGCAGGGGGAGTGGGCACAAGGATAAATTATGATCTGTTTCCTCTGCTATTTTGGTTCCTAAGTCACCAAAGACTTGCTCAGAAGACCCAGTTTTTCAGAGTGGCTCCTGCCTGGCACTGCTCCCTGGTACACAGGTGAACCTCGAGCTCCCCCCGCCCCAGGAGGCCCTGGCTCGGCAGGCTTGGGTCCCGCTGAGCTCCGGGAGGAGCAAGCGCTTCACCTAAGGACAGTCACCTCAGCAAAGGGCCATGAGGAGTGTGGCTCAGCGGCTCCTCCGAACCGATGAGCTCTGGTGCAGCCCCGAACTTAAGGGACAGCGTGTGACAGGAGGAGGAGGCTGGCAGGGTGGTGGGAGGCCCGCCCGGCCCTGCACCCTGGTCCTGTGGGCCCGTCCTGGGGACATGCAGGGTGTGCCCAGGGCACCTGGCTGGGGTCACCAGGGAGCCTGCTGGGGCGAGGCTGGCATGGGAACTTGTCTGCAGGAGAGGTGGGAGCTCCGGAGGGCGCCTCGGGTGTGAGCACAGCTGGTCTCCCTCAGGGCAATGTCACGGAGCACTCAGGAGCCGGGGGGCTGAGCGGGACATTCGGGGCTGCAGGGCTGGGGCAGGAGGCCTCGCCTTGCTTCTTTCTCTGGTGCTTCGTGTGACGGGGAGGAAGAGTAGTGTTTCCTGTGGTGAGGTGACACTGGCAGCCCAGGTGGCCGGCGCTAGGGGAAGTCACTGCCGTCGTAGATCACAGGCCGGTCAACCGTCAAGTGGTAAAACACTTTCTTGGAGATGAACCTGAGGAGACAGACACGGAAAGGGGGGCGTCGCCTGCACCCGACAGCCAAGAGCGGCTGGCCCAGGCTGCCTCTCGGGCCGTGTCCTGCCCTCTCCGCGCCCCCTCCGGTTCTCGCTTCTCCTTCCTCCATCTGCCCCACCCTCTGGGGTGTGTCCAGGGCCCCTCTCTGGGTGAGCTGTGGGCGCGGGTCAGGCCCTGGCACTGCCACCCTGCGGTGTGAAATCCGCAGTGAACACTGCGACCATGAGCTGCCTCAGTGGGTGCGGGTTGCAGGTCCAGCTCTGCGCCCGAGAGCCTACCTGGAGAAGGTGTTGTCGAAGATGAGCATGTAGATGCCGGGCGTGCGCACCTTCAGCTGGCCCTGGATGCTCTCCTTGTGGGAGTGGCACCGGGTCGTGGGGATGAGGACCTGGGAGTGGGGGGACAAGGGTCAGGAGCAGGGGCTGCTTGGGGTGCAGGCCGAGGGCTCTTTCCGGGTCTCGGTGGAAGAGCCACGGACACTCTGGGGCTTGGTGACACTGGTGGCCCTGTGGGTGTTGGTCCCACCCTCCCTGAGCACCAGCGATTCTGACTCTTCATTCTCTCTCTGCTGCACTGCTTTACTGATTTGTGTATTGGAACCGCCCCAGCAGCCCTGGGATAAAAACAACTGGATCCTGATTTTCGGGTCTCCTTAATGTGCTGCTGAATTCCATGTGCTACGTGCGCATCGTGTCGTCAAGCCTATCGGTCTACCAGCTGCTTTTCTTGTACCCTTAGCAGGTTTTGACAGCAGAACCAGGCTGGCTGTGTGGAACGACTCTGGAAGGGTCCTTTCTCTTTCTGTTTATGGAATAGTCTGAGAAGCACTGGCCTTAGTTCTTAAAATTCATCAGTGAATCTGGCTGGTCCTGGACTTTTCTTTGTTGGGAGATTTTTTATTAGTGTTTCAATCTAATTGCTTCTTATTCGTCTATTTAGGCTTTCCTGGTTCAACTGTGGTCGTTATATGTATTTGGAAGTTCCTAGGTTTTCCAACTTCCTGGCTAAGTGACCCCCAATGACCCCGGACTTCGAGGGTAGCTGCTGTGACACCTTCCTTTTAGTCTCTGATTGTATTTATCTGGGTCTTCTCTCTTTCTTGTGGTTGGTTTGCCTAAGTATTTTTCTTTTCAAAGAACCAGCTCTGTGTTTCATCAAGCCTCTGTGTTGTCTAATTCTCTATTTCACTTATTTCTGCTCTGATCTTTATTCTCTTTTTCCTTCTGCTGACACTGGGTTTGCTTCGGTGCTGTTTTTCTGAGATGCTGACCTGCATGCTGAGATTATTGGTTTGGGATGTGCCTGACTTTACAGTGCAGAAACAGGGCCACACGCTTCCCTCTGCGTCCATGGCTCCCGGCTGTGGACCCGTCTGCACTGACCCCAGGACTTCTCAGATCTTTCCCCAGCTTCTCCAGCACCCTCTGCCCGGCCGCTCCTCCCCCACCCTGCACCGCCCCACTGCTGCTCCTGCTTTCTCCCGGCCTCAGGGGACAGGCACCGGCCAGTGGCAGCCCCAGTGCATCCCACCCCGCCCTGACTTTTGACCCTGGACTCAGTGGTGCGTGTCTTCTAGGGCCTCTTGGGGACACTGTGGGCTCCTCAAGGGCCACTGCCTGTGGTCCCCACCTCTCTATCCCCCGGCCCCTCGGAGCCTTGGACACGGCAGACGTTCAGTGACTGGCGTCTACTGCTTCGAGGACCCATCCCCGCTCCTGAGCTCGTGCCTCTGTCGCCAGGAACCTGCACACCACTGCCATCGTGCTGTGCTTGCTGCCTCCGAGTCCCAGGCTAGCGGGGGCCAGGCGTCCTCAGGAGGGTGCTGAGCACATGCCCGGGTACAGGCCGAGGCACCAGCTGCCCCATCCCAGGCTGGGGAGGCAGAGGCACCTGGGCACCCAGGACATGGGCTCCTTCTGCCCCCTGGTGTCCACCGTGGGGGGGGACAGTGCTCTTCACCAGGAGGGCCCGGAAGCCAGAGATGAGGCAGAGCGGGCCGCAGGCTCCAGGGTCTTGAGGACATGGTGGTGAGCAACTGGGCAGGAGGACAGGCCCAGGGCGTGGGAAGGGTGCAGGTGCACAGCCCGGGCCTGAGACGCCTCGCTCTCCAGCCAAGTGACTGTGCCTGTCCTCGCTGCCTCTGTGTCCAGGCAAAGGGCACAGCAGCTGAGGTGGCTGCTCCTGCTCTGCATGGCTCCGTGAGGAAATCGTCTTCCCCAGAGCCCTGGGCCTGGGCCCTCAGGGCTTCACCTCTCAAGGTGAGGCTCAACCTGGCCGCACGGGAGGGACCTCCGGCATCAGGACGGCCGTCCTCCACTGCGGGTCTTCCCCTGCCCACTGCGACGGGGCCAGGCCACCTGGAGGAGGAGAGCCGGGCTGGGGCCCAGGCTGCAGGGTGCCCACCCGCCTACCTTGCACTGATCCAGGGGCGCGTCCTCCGCCTCCCTGAAGACCACGCTGAAGGAGATGCTCTTGGGGTCAGAGGAGAAGACCCAGCTGATGGTGAGGCCCGGCTCGGCCACGGTGATGGGGATCAGGCTGTAGGTGCTGGAGCGCACGAACAGCTCCCGGCTGCCCTCTCCAAAGCTGGCGATCTCGTCCACGGTCAGGGGCACCTTGATCCTGGGGGAGAAGTGCAGAGGGGCCTGACCACCAGGGATGCTTTGTGTCTGCGGCCGGCTCTCTGCCACCGAGGTCCCTGACCTCTTCGGACACAGCCGCCTGTTCCGTGTCACGCAGGGGCCATGGGGCAGTGGGGCGGCCCGGGGTGAGGCGGCTCTCGGGCAGTGTCTCTTGTTCCAGCTCACGCTGGGCAGGCATGGCCTCCTGTGCAAGTACTGGCCTCACGCAGTGAACGCTGCTCTCGGTGCCCTGTGAGTGGCCCTGTGAGGAGCCAGGGACCCGGCTGCGTGCCCTCGGAGCTCTGTGGAGCCGGGCCTCTGACGCCCGTCCTGCCTGGCTCACGTCAGAGCATGAACTTGACGTGGCCGCAGCCGGGACACCGCCTGCTGCCCCTGACTCCCGCTGCTCCATGCCAGCCAGCTCAGCCTGGGGGTGGGGTCAGGGCCTGCAGGGCTGGGCTGCACCAGGGGTCCATTCGCTCTCCTGAACCCCACTTGCCCTCTGCTCCCGTCCTGAGTCACCACAGCAGGGAGAGGAAGGCTGGGTTGGCCCAGTCTGCGACAGGAAGCTCCGGTTCAGACAGAGGGAGAAACACGACCCCGGTCCACACAGGCCTCACCCAAAGCCCACACCTGCCACTGGCTGCGTTGCCTTTTGTGGAGAAAATGTCTTCCTGCCCCTTTCAAGCAAGGATGGACATGAAGCTCGGCAGGATGCTTCTCCAGATGCTAATGGACGCTTTCTTTCTAATTACAAATTTCCAAGAATCAGAGCAGGCAGGAGAGTGGGTTCCGCTGTGGGAAAGCAGTGGACGTCTGACTGCACTGCCGTGTAAACGCCATGGTCCTGACGCATCGTCCTCCTGAGGCCCGGTCTCTTTCCCATCTAGGGCTCCAGACCTCCCCAGGTGCCAGCACGCTCTCGGCCAGGGCAATCTCGGCTCTCCAGAGGAGGTGCAATGAAAGGCTCCGGCAGTTCTGCCTGGATATCACGGTAAAGAAGAGAAGCGGGCTACTGAGCTGGGCGTGGCAGCACACGCCTGTGATTCCGGCACTCTAGGAGGATGGCAAGTCTGAGTCCAGGCTGGGCAAATGAGTGAGAACCATTTCCAAATAAAACACATAGCAAGGGCTGGGGATGTAGGTCAGTGTGAAGTCCGTGGGTTTAATTCCCAGTAACAAAAGAGGGAAGGAGAGAGAGAGACCTGCTACGGTCTACAAGACTCATATCACAGGCGTAAATTCTGCTACATGCCTAGAAATTCTAGCTGACATGAGCCAAGGGTACCCACCAACTCTCTGTGTTCTGAGATAGCCCCACTTTTAACGTGTTTTCAGATTCTCCTATAATGGAGTTGCCAAACCTTAGTTCACTGTTCCTCTTTGAAAGAGGCAGAAAACGTCAACTCCAAGGAATAGTTATGCTGTTTGCATTTTGTTCATGGGCCAGCTGAGCTCTTCTCGGTATCGATTTTATCCTGCTGTCCTTAAGGATTTGCCAGATCCTGTGTGTTTAGTCATTTCTTAATCTCATCATTTTTCTTATCTCTTTACTTGAAGGAACATTTTCAGAAAGTTTGATAATGAACAATTTCAAACATGCCGTCGATTTTCCTTACTACGTGTAACTACATCATCTGTACCTAATTCTGCAGAAGATTGCAGTACAGTGGACCCTCGAGCTACAACTGGCCTGACATACAAACAATCTGGGTTATGACCGGAATTTTAGTTTTAGCTTAAACCAAAGTCTTGAGTTATGACCCAAATGCTGGCTGCTTGTGCTTCCAGATGGTCTCAAATGCAGATTTAACCCCTAAAGAATTCTGGAAGGAACAGGACAGCATCCTTTCCCCTGTGGAGTTAACTAAGAAATCCTGGGCCAGGGTCTCTCTGAGGATACTCAGATCTGCCTGTGCACAGGAGAGAGACTTTGAACGCTGTGTAGTGCAGCCTGAGCCTTCACTGACCAACGTGAGTTACAACCAGCCCTGGGGGATGAATTGAGTTCGTAAGTCAAGGGTCCACTATACATGTGAAGGGCAGGAAAGAGGAGGAGGCTGGCCAGGGACCCAGGACCCCAGGAAATGACAGTGGCTCAGCAGTTCCAAGCCCCACCTAGGGGTCACACTGGGGACCAGAAAACCCTGACTCACACAAGGGACTACAGACACCACAGGCCAGCGCTGACATCAAGTGGATTTGAGAACCATCCAAAAAGGCTGTCACAGAAATACCTCAATAACAACTTCAAATATTCTTGAAACAATGAAAAAGTAAAAAGAAAGAAAGAAAAATCATGTCTAGAAATACTAAAAAAATACTACAAACTGGGCATGGTGGTGCACACCTGTAATCTCAGCACCTAGGAGGCTGAGGCAGGAGGACTGGAAGTTCAAGTCCAGCCTGGGAAACTTAACAATTCAGCAAGATCCTGTCTCAGAAATTTAAAAAAAATTTTTTGAAAAGGGCTAGAAATGGAGTTCAACTTGAGGGCTCTGGTACAACCCGTGATACTGTAACAAGTCAAAACAAAACAAAATAAAAAACTTGCTGGATGGGCTCAAAAGAAGAATAAATATAACAGTTAAACTCAAAGAGAGAAAACCTGAAATCACGCAGTCTGAACAACACAGGGAAAAGAACTGGGGTGGGGGGACCCCTAAGGTCTCAAAAGACACAAACCAACCGTGGGACATTTGTATTATGAGTCCCAAAGGAGAGGAAGAAGAGAACACTGGAAAAGATAAAGAAATGACGGCTAGAAACATCTTGCATTTGATTAAAGACATAAACCTACATATTTAAGAACTAAGCAGACTCCAGATAGGAAAAACCCAAGAAATTCACACTACAACCTACACTAATGAGGCTCCTGAGAACAAGAGACAAAGGCAATGCCTGGCAAGCTCAGGGAGCGCAGGGGTTTCTGTGAGAAGAGAACTGGAGATCGTGGGTTCTGCATCCGACACAACAGCTTCAGGCTGAGTGCCGAGTCCTGTGGCCCATGAAGAGAGAAACGCATAGCGGCCAAGGGGGCTCAGCTCCCGAAGCAAGGCTGGTTCAGCCTTTGAAAATCCTTTAGTGCCGTCTGTCCTATCAACAAGCTGAGGAAGGGGTGGGGACCAAGCTATGGGAGGAATTGCTGGGGGCCAGGCTACATGACTTAGGCCCCACAGCCCCAAGGCTGGTGTGACTTGCTGTAGGAATAGGGAAATACGCAGAAGGCCGCATGTTTCCTGACTGTATGGGGAAAGCTGTCATCACAGTACTCCTAAGGCAAGATAACCTGCTGAGGAAAAGAATGCAGGAATCCCGGTATGGGAATCCCCATTAACTTGCTCCCTTTGTGAGGACTGACTTGTTTCTCATTCTCTGTTGCCCCATTCCTAGTGCAGTCGCTGTTCTACTACGCCTCCCTCTGCGCTTCTTGCTGGCTAATACAAGTGGGTCAACTGCGGAGTCTATGGAGTCTGTCCACTAGAGGCAGGCTCCTCCGGGGCCCCTTAAACCTTGACTATTGTCTCTGTCTCTCTTTATTCCCCATCGTCTCCCCTACAGGTATCTGAGGGTCTGATCAGCCCCCGGCAAGGAAGAAAATGCCAAGGATCACAGTCATCAAGACAGAAAAACACTAGACAAAATTCAGCACTCGCTCATGACAACCTGAGTTTTCTTTGACTGCTTCTTGTTCTCACTGTTACGAGTAGCGTGAAAGGGACATTCGGGTAGCTTTCTTTTTCTTTTTATTTATTGGTTTGTTTATTAAAAAAATTTTTTTTGAGACAAGATCTTGCTCTATAGCCCAGACTGGCCTTGAATCCTTGGTGATCCTCCTGCCTCAGCCTCCCTAGTGCTGGGATTATAGGGATGTGCAATCATGCCCTGCCATTGTTTTATTTTAAAAGAAATTTTAGTAGCACATGTTTGTGATGCATAATGGGTGCATTTCTTGTGGGGAGGTGGTACATGTACAGAGCAGATCTTAATTCAGTTTATGTCCCCTCCCACCCTCCCCTCATTTCTTGGTCCCCGTCCCTTTTACAAAAGATCTATCTCCCTACTGCCCATTACCCATCTTTTATTTTGCTCTTTATACTTTTGGTTTCTCATACGAGAGAAACGGTGCCATATTTAAGCTTGTGTGTCTGCTTTATTTCACTTAACATTATGGTCTCAAGATGCATCCATTTTCCTGCAAATGACTCAAGTTTATCCCTCTTTATGGCGGAGTAGTGCTCCGTTGTGTGTAAATAGCACATTTGCTTTATCCATTCATCTGCTGATGGACTTAGAGGCCATTTCCAAGATTTAGCTGTTCTGAGTTGTGCTGCTATGAACTTGGGTGTGCATGGATCACTGTAATGTGATGCATTTCCAATCCTATGTCTTTGGATATATTCCCAGGTGCAGACTTTCTGGTCAAAGGGAGCACAGAGTACTTGAACTTCTGGTGCATCCTGTGGCCAAGCTGCTCTCCACAAAGGGTACACCAGACACCTCCTGCTCATGGTGCCTACAGCCTGTGAATGGGTAAGCTCCTCTTCCTGTTCTGGTTCTGTCTCCCTCCATCCTCCCTGATTCCACTTTGCTGGTCCTCTCCCAGGTCCCTGCCTGTGCTGGCAGCATCTGGTCCAAGGCCTCCATTCCTCGGCCTGAAACGCCCTGCCCTCGGATGTCTGCCTGCAACCCTTTCACCTCCTTCAAGCATTACACTCTTGGTGACGATAAGTTTAAAAGCACAAATTCCCCTCCCTTCTCATCCTGATCCACAGGTACTACCTTGGAACGTACTATGTGACACTGACTTGGTTACTTTTATTGTTTATCATCTGTCAGTCCCTGTGGAATACAAGCTCCCCAAGGGCAGGAGTCTTGGTGCCATGTACTCCAGGCATCTAGAATAGTACCCAGCGTGCACTGGTGGGTAAACATCAGTGAGTGAATGACTACCATGTGGCTGGGGATACAACACCAGACAAGCTGACAATATGGGAAAATACTCGTGCTTCAGTGAGCTTAAAAGCTTCCAAAATAAGATGTAGAATATTTATGCTGAGTAATTATAAATATATATGTATCTAAGAAAGACTAAAAGGCTATTGTGAAAGTTGTTAGAATAAAAATGGAGAGCCGGGGATTTAGCTCAGTGGTTTTGCCGCCTGCTTTGCAAGCGCAAGGACCCGAGTTCGATCCCAGGTACCAAACAAACAAACAAACAAACAAAACCAAAACACAAATCAAAAATGGAGTCACTTTTGTCGATCCTTAATGAGAAAAATAAAAATACATAAAAGTAAAGGAAATAAAGCTGAAGGTTATGAAGAGGGGATCCCCGCTTATGCCTGATAGCAAGAACCAGGCCTATCACAGAAAGGCTTGCCTCTATGAGGACATCTGTTACCGATCCCTGTAGCCAAGGACTACTGTTTCCAAATAACTTATGGAATCCTCCTCTTTTGACTTTAAAAACAGCGCCTAGCCCCAGCCTCCTTGAAAACATATGCAGTTCACCACAGGTCGCATTCCCCTGGCAGTGTGGCTCCAAATAAACAGGGGGCTCCTGGAGACTGCCTGTCACTGAGGTGCACACTGCATACCACGAGGATCCTCATTTTAGGCCCCTAATTTCCTATAATGAAAACGCACTGCTCCAGCAGTCAGGAAATTAAACAGTTACTTTTGAAAAAGAAGGTGGGGTCTGGGAGCGACTGCCAAGGGGCACAGGAGATTTTCGGAGAGAGGGGACTGCCCCAACCTTAACTGCAGCAGGGATTGTATTGTGTGGCTTGTCAAAAGTCGAGCACTGCACGCTGCAAAAGGTGAACCAACCTTAATGAACAGGAATTATGCCTTAAAAAATAAAAAGCACGAACTGAAGTCGGAGTGTGAGCAGCGCCCAGCTCTGGGGCCCCTCTCTGGGGTCCCTGCCACTTACATCAGCTCCCCGGACTTCAGCAGGCAGATTTCAGCGTCCTGCCCCACGGGCATGTCCTCAGTGTCCTCGGGGGTCAGCGAGTTTGAGGTGGTGTCCCTGAAACGTCGCAGAGGAGAACACGGCCATCAGCTACCCGCACACAGGTCCCATACCCTGAGATCCCAGAGCCCGGCCCTGAGTGACCTCAGAACGCGCAGGGAGTCTTGGAGTCACTGCGGCTGGGCAAGGCGAGGACAGCAGGCTTCAGGGACTGCGGTGGCGTCTCCTGGTGCTGGGAGGAGGGGAGCCCCCAGCCAGGAGGCGATTACCCCAGTGGGCTTTGCTACCGGCACGCCTGCCTCCCGCCCCCTGTGCAGGCCACCTCAGGACACAAGAACAGGGCTGGCGCTGAGGGGCAGGAAGCTGCGACACAGACATGTGCAATGGAACGGAGCCGAGACTCCGCCTCTCTCCCTTGAGCTGCAGTGTTCCCCAAGTAGGCTCCGTGGAACCCCGTGCTAGGGAGGCCAGTGCCACACACTGTCCCCCTCTCAGGAAGTCGAGGTCACTTTAATAGTATCCCGGTGGCTGCAGTGAAGACACTGGGATTTTAACCCCACCATTCCTGTGATCCTTGGGCTGTGGCTGGCTGTTCCCCACTGAATTACTGATCCCAGGATCCGTCAGCAGACCACAGCCCCCCACACCTTGGCAGGGCTGGGATGGAAGCAGAGGCTCTGACTCGTTCAGCGCTCCCCCTGCTGGGCACGGTCCGTGGCTGATTCAATCTCAGGGACACCAGAGCCTGACCAACTCCCTGCAGCCCTCAACTCCACCAAAGAGAACAAACAGGTCCAGAAGGGAAGGTGGTCCCCACGGGAGGCTGGCAGGAGGAAGAGCCCCCAGAATGGCTCCTCCCCAAATGTACCAGGTCCTTTCTCAACAGCCCTCAGGGTTCGCTCCAGGCATCCCCAAGGGTAAGGTCAGTGTGTCCCAAACTGTCCCTCCCAGTACTGCCCTGGGCAAGCCTGTCCCAGCCTGTCCCCAGGACATGTACTGGGTTCCACCCCAGGCCCGAAGCACTCCCAGGAATTGGGTCCTGTCCTCCCGGCCCGGCCCAGAGGTGGCAGTTGGGGATGCGCTGGGTCAGGGCCGCAGCCGGAACTGCCCTCTGTGCATAAGTGGCTGGGCCCACGGAGACACAGGGTCTCGCCACCCACGGCGGCACAAGCACAGCACTGGCCAGCCTCGAGGATGCAGACCGTGGGACAGGGGCTCTGACACCGCCTGCATGCCATGCTCCAGGCCCGCCCCGGGTGGAGCCGCCTTGTGGCTGGAGCTGGTGTGCTCTGGGTGGCTGCCCGGAGAGGCACTGCTGCTTCCCTGGAGAATTAACAGACCTGATTTGAGCTCAGAGCTCAAATTCGGGACACCAGAAATTTTGGGACACCAGAAATTCCGGGACACGCACTGGAAACACCCCAAAGCCCCGACAGCTTCCGCCTGGAGGACACCCCGGTCAGCTCTGCTCAGGAGGGACTCTGACCGCACTGCTGCCCACGTTCCACACCCAGCGCACTGGGATGGGGACGGGGTGTTCCTCCAGCGCCAGGCACACCCTGAGCTGGCCCACCTGGGCCCAGGAGCCCCATGGACGCGGAAAGGGATGAAAGTCAGCGAGTCCTGCCCAAGCCGGTCTTGGCTGCCGCTCAGCTGTGGGGCAGGAACGTTTGTGGGGCACCTGCAGCAGAGCCAGGCTGGGAGCAGGGGAAGTGGCCAGGGATGGATGGGGCAGCACCGGAGCCTGCTCCGCTCCCGGTCCCATCCTCTCTCCTCCCTGCTTGCGGCAGCAGCTCACTGACCCTGGCCTCAAGCCGGCTGCTGCTCTTCTCAGCCAGGGAGAGCAAGCTCACGTCCTGTGGCACCTGCTGCCAGCCCGGCAGCCTCGCTGCCCTGCTGCTTTCTTTCCACCCTGGTTTCCTGGAATGCTCATCTGAACTCCTCCCTATGGGGCACGTCCTCTCCACTGCGCCTCCAACCACCCGGGACAGAGAGAATTGCGAGACACCACTGGGAGTGACATGGAGTCCAACGCTCCCCTCGACGGTGGAAAGCAGAGGCCAGGGCAGAGTGGAGCAGACAGCTGAGCCCATGCACATGCTGCCAGCCTTGTCCGAAGTGTGCACACAGAGAATGAGATGAAGAAAACAGCACAGGACGGGACAGCCAGGGCCCGGTCACCTGCAGGGGCAGATTCTGAGCAGCTGCCCTGCACAGAGTCTCCCCGGAACAATTAGAGGCAGAGTTTGCTTCTCAACCTGTGGGCTGTGATCCGTTTAGTAGATGTGAATCAACTTAGCAGGTTATGACCAACATAAAAAGGAAGCAAGTAGAACAGGAAATATCAGTGCGACAGTATGTTACGCATTGAGAGGTAAGTACTGTTTAGGAGGCGCCTGTTCCACCATACGTACAAGGAGCGACGGAAAAATACGGTAAACGCTTAAATTTAAAAAAATTTATTACAGCAAAAGGCACATTGCCACGAGCCCCCCTTAAGTCCTCCCCCTTGCTTTGAACACACTCATCCCACCGTCCTGGCCACGTTCTGCAGCAGCTCTGGAGTCCTCTTTCCTCAGTGTCTTTATGAGGTGAGATGTAATAAAAAACACAGGGACTGCGGCCACCGAGCGCCCTCTGATGGAAAGACAGGCTCATAAAAACACCTCACTGGGGCCTCATCCACCTTACTCATGGGATCTGGCGCCCTGTGTCTCCTGGCTCCTCCCCCAAGTCAAAATGATCACGAAAGGCCAACATTTTGAATCCATTTGGGACACGGAGGCAGCTAAGATGGCGCCACTGAAGAGACTCAGGAAACAGGGCTCCAGAGCTGCTGCAGAAAGTGGTGAGGACCATGGGATGAAGGTGTTTGAAGTAAAAGGGAGTACTTTAAGGTGGCTTTGGGTCTTTCACTGTAATACATTTTAAACTTTAAACACACACTGTTTGGATCACATCTCACATGCAGATGTGCACACCTGGGCAGAGGTGAAGGGCCTCGCTCTGGGATGAGGCCGAAAGTGTTCACGAAGCTGTCAGAAGCCAAGTTTGACAACAGGCGACACATGCAGACCACTAGAGGGCGCCCTCTCCTGCCACAGCCCTTTCCTTTCTCTGCTCCCTTTTGAGTTTTCTCGAGAGACCAGGAAAACTCAGTGCCACAGCGACCTCTCTTCCCCTGGCTTGTGGCCGCGGTGCCCACTGCTAGGTATGCTGGTGTCCTACGGCTGAGGGCGGCCGGCGCTCCCTGCTGAGGCTCCATCCCTGAGGCTCTGGCCCACGCCCGCCAGGGCGCCAGCTCGCTCGCCCCTCTGCGGGTGGCTGTGTGGGCGCTGCCCGGCACCTGCTGTGCCCCCCACCTCTGCTCGACATCTGCATTCTGTGTTACGGGGTAAGTGTTTTCCTGTCCTAAATGCCCTCCAAGAAGGACATAACCAAGGCTCCTCTTTAGAACTAGGAAAGAACGCTGTGGAGAGCCCAAAGGAGGTGATGCTGAGCAGGACCCCGCTGCCAGGTAGTGCAGGAGCCCGCCCCTCCCCCGGCGAGGCGTCGCCCCAGGTCCGTCCGCCAGCATCTACAGGCCCATGCTCACTTCCACTCCATTACTGCGGACGGACCCTTGACCCTTGGAAGCAGGGGGGGAAACAGGGCCTCCGCCTGCTCACCCGGCCGTCTCTGAGGGCTCCAGCCCCATCTCACCGGCTCCACAGGGAGCCCGATCCCGGGGGCCCTCCAGCCGGCTCCCCTCTCTCAGGGTGCCCTGGGAACTGGGGAGGTCATGAGGTCAGAACCGCAAGGTTGGAGACAGCTAAGTCAGGAAATACTATAGGCAGTTGGGCAGGGCCCTCAACATAGAAAGCAACTGAGGCACCGTCTCTGAAGGTTAACATTAAAAAGAGAGAACCTCCCACACCCACGCACTTCCCCTAGGGATGAATAGCAGTGACTGACACTCTAAATAGACATCAATCATCCCTAGCTAGCCCATTCTTTCCAGAAATGCATGTAAGCTTGCTATGTGACTAGCTTCCCCATTTGATCCCCGTTTAATCAATATTACCTTGGTGATGGTACCTGTAATCTTATTGGTTCATCATAGTTTTGTCCCACCTCATGCCCACCTTGTGATTTTCCATTGAGTCTTACAGTTTTGTCCCACTTTGTACCTGCCGCCTCACCTCCTGGCTTTGGCCTATAGAACACCTTTGAGAAGTGGGGTGGGTGGGAAACCACTTTCTGATCCCCCTTCTGTCTCTCTTAGACAGAAGCTATCTTTCTCTCAGTAAGTTTTTCCAACTCTTAACCACCATTGTTCCTACAATTCATTCTTTGACTTTAGAGAACATGAACTCACGTTTTGGCTATTTAGCAGGTTGGGAGTTATAATATTTCCCTTCTTTGGATTATTTTGCTTATTCAGATTACTTGGTGCCTTATATCAGCACCATCTAACACAGCATCCATGAGCCCAGGCAGTTAAACTCATACTCATCAGGAGAAAATCAAACTGCACAACTGGCTCCAGGCTGCACTGCCACAGGCCACTGGGATGATATTAAGCTGAACATCTGGCTCTGGAGTGCACCATCATAGGTCATGTGCTGTCACCACACGGGCTGGTGGCCGCTGCTGGACAGTGCTGTCCAGGGCGTGTCTGCCAGGGCAGAAGGCAGCACATCTGGCCAGCACATTTGGGGGGCTGGGTGGAGCCAGGCCCTGCACCACACTTGCTCTGGGATGGATGGATGGATGTATGTATGTGCAGGTGTCCTGCATTTTTCTACTAATTTTTTATTATTTATTTTAGTAATCTTATTTCACTATAAAATTGCTAGTAAATTCCTAGTAGTTTTCCCTTTTAGTCACTGGCCTCCTTTCTGCCTAAACACTGAGTGAAGAACATTTTGAGTCCTCTGACCTCTGAAGCCATGGGACCTGGTGTGGCCAACACGCAAACCCACAGCCCATGCTCACGACCACCAGAGGGGGCCTCTAAGCCCATCACGTGGGTGTCTGACGGGGCCACCTCTTTGTGGACCGCTGGCCGTTAGGGCACCTCCACAGCCTGCCGCCTCCCAGGCTGTGCGTGAGACAGCAGTAAGCGCTTCATCCCTATGTCCGGGAAGTGACATCCCAACAGCGCTGGCCTGGGGATGAACGCCGGGTGCCCGGGGAAGGCGAGTGGGAATACAGTCTGTCGCTAAATCTGCAGCTGCGACTGCCACGTCCCCCAGCTGTATCTGGAACATGCTTGAGCATTTCTGGGGAAATCCGACACAGATGGGGGCACAGATGGCTGAGCGCTTTAGAGCCCCGTTTCAAAGTGACACCCTTGGAATAAGCAGAATGACACACAGGCAGATAGCAGAAGGCATTGTGTAAAGTGGTGGACATAAAATCTTAGCCCTACGACTGGGGCAACCACTGTGGAAATCAGGGTGGAGATTCCTCAAAAAACTAAAACTGGAGGCTCCATTTGACCCAGCCATTCCCCTTCTTGGTATCTTCCCAAAAGAATTAAAAGCATCATACCACTGTGATATATGTGCACCCATGTTTATAGCAGCACAGTTTGTAATAGCTAAAGCTTGGAAACAGCCCAAATGCCCATCAACCGACAAATGGATAAAGATGTGGGTTTTTTTAATGCAATGGAGTACTACTCTGCCATAAAGAAGGATAAGCTTCAGGCATTTATAGCTAAATGTATGCACCTTGAGACCATACTCTAAGTGAGATAAATTGGACACACATGTTTAAATACCGCATTTTCTCTGGTGTGAGAAACCTAAAGTGGAAACAAGGACTAAAATGTATAATACTGAATGGGAAATGGGAAGAAAATGTTCAAAGGGGAAGAGGAACAAGGGAAGAGGGGGGAGAAAGGTAGGAGGGGACAGGAAAAGTAAAAATAAAAGGAAAAAATGGAAACAAAGCTTTTGTACATAGGAAGGGGAGGGGTTTGCCAAGGGGGGAATGGGATAAAATAAAATTAAACTTAAAAAACTGTTTAGCCCCAAACCAAGCAACTTGGTTCCCTGAATTCAGCATCAAGTCCTCATCCCACACAGAACTTTCCAAGAGGTCTCGTGGCTGTGGCACGTGCTGCTTTCTCGAGTACATGGTGCCCCTCCTGTCTGTCTGTCACGGAGGGCACATGCAGCCCAAGTCACTGCCGAGAGCAGACCACGGCCACGTGTGGACGAGGTGCAGCCGGTTCGCTGGTTCCAGGGAAAACCCCAAGGTTCCGGGACCCCAGGGCCGGGTCTCACCTAAAGGTCTCCTCTTCCCGATCTGGCTCCGTCTGTGTCCACCCCCTGCACCCGCACTGCCTCTCAGAACCCTACTCACTGGTCTAAAAGGCTGCAAACCCACCCTAGGTGTGCAGCTCTTTTGCCCGGGCCCTGGGGTGGCTCCACGCTGAGAGCAGGGCCTGGGCACTGGGTCTGCAGCCTGACGCTGGGGGCCTGTGTGTTCTCAGGGGGCAGCGAGCGGGCGGCGCATCTCCGGACTCTTCCACTTACTCGCCTGGAAGTGACTAGGGACAGGTGAGCCAGGGACGCACGTCGCACCGCCTGGCCGAGTGAGGAGAGTGCAGCTTTCTGGGCCCTGGGGAAGCGGCGGACGGGGCCAGAGGGACAGACGGGAGAATGGGTGTTTCGCAATGGCCTGTCTTCCAGGAAGGGCTGGGGAACGTGAGCCCAGCCGACTCTTCTCCAGTCTGATTGGCAGGTGGGACCGACCAGAAGGGGCTGCCCTGCGGGATCCAGGAAACCAGCAGCTCTAGCGTGCTGAGCTCAAGGTGCCCAACATCTGGGGCAACCGGCAGCACCTGCCAGGGTAAGCATGGTAGGTGGGCCTTGGCTGCCCAGGGGCCGGAGTAACGTGGGACTGGGGGGAAGAGCTGATTCAGCTTCAGTCCCCAGGGCTCTCACCCGTGAAACGGGAGTGATAATCCCAGGGTGCAGGGCTGTGGGGAGGCTGACGGCGACGGTGACAGTGATGGTATCAGCTGTCTCGGGTATGGGGGCCACCCGCGCAGAGCCACGGAGCCCAGCCAGGCTACGGGCTTTGTGTTGGCCCGATCCAAACTGTTCTAGAGACGCGTGACAAGCAAATGAAATAACCCGAAGGAACAGACAGCCGCATCCTGAGGGGACGGTCGGAGCCAAACCTACTCACTGCTCCCCTTCAGTTTACAAACAAAACCCTCGGGTACTGGCGGAGTGAGCCCAGGGCAGGAGGCAAGCGTGCCAGGTGTCAGGGTTGGGGTCCAAACCCAGTGCCACAGGTACAGCCCCGCTGGCTCACTGGAGGGCTGTGAGCTCTGGGGAGGAAGGGGTGGGTCTACTCAGCAGCGAGGCTCCTCTGCGGCAGCACAGACCACATCACAGAGCACAGGGCCAGCCCCGCAGTCCTGAGCCTGCTGCCTCCAGAGCCCAAGGGCGGTGGTCGGCGTCTCTGGGTGAGTCAGTGAGCTGCTTGTTGCTCGGGTCCTGGTGAAGAGGACCGGGGGACCAAGCCCGGCGTGGCTGGAGCTCAGGCTCCTGCCTGCAGCGCGGCGGCGACAGAGCTCACCTGGGCTCAGGGCAGCCTCAGGGTGCAAGCACAGCGAGAGCTTGGGAGCTCAGGGTGCTAGCAGGACTCAGCGGAGCCGCGGAGGGAAGGGGTGTCCTGCCTCAGTCCAGGTTTGGCATGGAATCATCTGATTTCCTTTTCTGTGTGTTTTGTACAGGAAGCTATGTTCTCCCAGATTATTGTTTATTCTCTTTTTTTTCAGTATGAATCAATATGCTACTATAGAACTTAGAGAAAAACAAAGGCAGACAGGAAATAAATCTCTCAAAATTCCACCAGCTAGAGGCCAGCTGCTGATGAAGTGTGGTTATTTTTCTATGACCTAGAAATATATTTAAAATTGTAAAGTTTATCATGGGTTAAGTATTTATAGGAGATGGGCTTCATGAGCCCCTAGACTTCCAAGTGTGTAGGTTATTTCTAAGGAAATGTCTACAGATTGCTATGAGATTCTCAGAGGGCTTTATGATTAAAAACGGTTAAGTCAGGCATGGTGGTGCACGCCTGTCATCCCAGCTCTCTGGTAGGCTGAGGCAGAGGACTGCAAGTCTGAGTCCAGGCTGGGGAACTTAAGAGACATAGTGAGGCTCTGTCCTGAAATAAAAAATAGAAAAGGGGTGGGGTGCAGCTCTGCGTGAAAGCCCTGGGTTCAATCCCCAGTACCAAGGGCAGAGGGGACGACAAACAGACACGAATCAGTGTTTACTATCATTTGTGGTTCACACTATTTTGTGTATTTATCGTGTGTTTACACTCTTCTGAGCAATGTAAATGTACTGCATTTCCCAAGATAACTATAAATGCATCCTAAACATGTGGGTCATATTCTACTTTATGTCTGAATTACAGTTATCACTTATTTATCAGACTTTTACATTATTTCCAAAGTCGTATATATTACCTTTTGAAAAAATTCAGAAACCCACATAGGGTTTTGATTAGAGAAGATAAAGGAATGAGTGTTTTAACACTTTTTCTGCTGGGGCGGTGATTCTACACGCCCTGTCCCCACCTGCCAGTGTGACACTCAAGTGTACGGCTATGTGCACCGATGTGCCAGAGGGGGCAGCAGAGGGCCAGGCAGCCAAAGCAGTTGGCTGGTCCCTCCTTTATTATGTATTTTTACATTTTTTCCGGTACTGGGAATTGAACCCGGGACCTTGCACTTTCCGGCAGGCACGGTGCTGCTGAGCTACTTTAAATGATGGCAAAGCTTGTTTCTGTCCCTGTGTGAAGCAACACCCAGGTCCCGTCGCCATCTGACCGCCGTACTCGAGGTCCCCAGCAAGCCTGTGGGGCAGGGCGCCTCCGGCTGACCTCTGTGGTCCAGGTGTGGGATGGTTTACTGAGTTTCACTGTTGAGGCATGGCCCACCCTGCTGGGGAGCTCGGGCCCTGGAAAGATGGGGCCACAGAAGTGTCTGGGCAGACACATTCCGGGGAAGGAAGCGGTCCTGAGTGGTCTCAAGCTTCACATGCCCACATCTGGCTGGTCCATTCTGCCTCTCCCCTGCACACCTCCTGGGGGCTGGTGCTAGGGGCCGGGTCCCTGGGCAGGAGCCAAGGGGCTGAGCCTGAGCTCAGGGGCAAGGCCAGCCAGGCCCTGTCAGGCCAACACTGCTGCAGCTGCTCCTGCACCCAGGCCATGTCCTGTCTATGGTGCTCGGCAGGGCCACAGGGCACAGAAGTGACAGCCTTAAGGGAGAGAGCCCTGGGCAGGAACGGCAGCCACACGGCCTCTGCCACCAGCCCTGCTGCATCACCCAACCACCTGGTGTCAATTTCAGGGCTCTTCCTCCGGGAAAGGAGCCCCCAGACCCTAACGTGCTCACATAGAGCTGTGGCAGGGTCCCCACCCGGGGAGACTGGAGACGACGTCTCAGGAACAAGGTTCTGGTGGTGGATGTCATGAGCTGTGATGGGTGACAGTGGGGACAGTCTGGTCAGGAAGCCAGCTCAGCCAGAGCGCCGGGCAGCCTCAGGCTTTTCCACGCCCATCACCTGTGCAGCAGAGGGGAAGAATGAGCAGGGAGGACTGTCCACCCAGACAGGGACGGCCTTGTCACCCCAGCACGCGTGGTCATCAGAATCTCCTTGGCAGGACAGCCCCGAGGGCTTCAGCTTTTGGACCTGAATAGCAACAGGGGCAGAGGATGGGCAGGCACGGCCAGGAGGCCCTGCTGCCACAGCGCCCATGGGATGCACGGAGCGGTCTGCTCCGAAGCAACTGTACGCGGACTTTCATGGGATGCGCAGGGTCAGAGGGGTGAGATCCTGGGAATTTGGGCGAATGGATCTTGGGGCGCATCCCACCTGAGCCGTGTCTCCCGAGCATGACCGTGATGGGTTTAGGTCATCTTCCCCCTAAAACGTAGTCACTGGGGCAGTGGGGGGCAGGGAGCGTCCTTCTCAGCTCCAAGTGTAATTCCACGTTTTGGCTCACAGGTGCACATCGGCCCAGACGCCATGGAATACCCTGACTACTATTTCCCCTTCAACAGCTCCGACGACGAGAGCAGTGAGGTGCATGAGCGCTTCCTGCGGTTCCGTGAGGTCTTCCTGCCCTGTGTGTATGCAGTGGTGTTCGTCTTCGGTCTGCTGGGGAACTTGCTGGTGCTGCTGATCTACGTCATCTACCAGAAGCTGCAGAGTGTGACAGACGTGTTCCTGGCCAACCTGCCCCTGGCTGACCTGGTGTACGTCTGCACGCTCCCCTTCTGGGCCTACGCAGGCTTCCACCAGTGGGTCTTCGGTAGGGCCCTGTGCAAGATCCTGCAGGGCATCTACACCGTCAACTTCTACGTGTCCATGCTCACGCTCACCTGCATCACCGTGGACAGGTTCATCACGGTGGTCCAGGCCACCAAGGCCTACAAGCATCGGGCCATGCACATGGCCTGCAGCAAGGGCATCGTGGGCGGCACCTGGGTGGTCTCCGTGCTGCTGTCCCTGCCGCAGATTATCTACAGCGAGGTCCACTCCCGAGACAGGCTCATCTGTGACTACGAGGAAAACGAGGTTTTCAGGGTGGTCCTGGCCACCCAGACAACCCTGGGCTTCTTCCTGCCCCTGCTCACCATGATGCTGTGCTACCCGGTCATCATCCGGACCATTCTGCTCTCCCGAGGCTTCCGGAAGCACAAATCTCTGAAGATCATCATCGTGGTGGTGGCCGTGTTCCTGCTGACCCAGACACCCTTCAACCTCGTCAAGCTCATCCGAAGCTCCAACTGGGAGTACTACGCCATGACCAGCTTCGACTACGCCATCGTCGCGACTGAGGCCATCGCATACTTGCGCCTCTGCCTTAACCCTGTGCTCTATGCCTTTGTCGGCCTCAAGTTCCGGAATAACTTCCGGAAACTCATGAAGGATGCTGGCTGCATCGGATTCTTGAGACAATGGAAGTCTTCTGAGGACAACTCCAAGAGCTGCTCTCCTTCACACAACCCAGAGGGCACCTGCATGGTCCAGCTGTAGGCCCGGGTCCTGGAGGACCTGCTGTGAGTCAGGGGCGCACGGCTGTGCCCCCTGCAGGGGATGGTGGGGAAGGCTTTGTTTATAGCCCTTGCGTTCCCTGGAAGTAATCAAACACTGTGGCTGGTGTGGACACTCCTTCTCAGACAGGGACGCGTCCTGCTCTCTCCAGGTGATTGAGCCTCAGGCCTGCTTCTTTTGAGATAGGGTCTTGTGAAGTTGCTAAGTTGCCCAGGCTGGACTTGAACCTGAGACCCTCCTGCCTCAACCACTCAGAATGCTGGGATTACAGAATTGTGCCACGAGGCTTCCTGCCGTCTTCTTAATACCCAAACCTAATGCTCCAGGGAGGGGGGGCTAAACTTTTTAAGGTTTTCCTTCCTCCATCCCCGAGAATGCCAAAGCCAAGGGGTGCCCTGTGACACCTGAGTCTCGGGCCCTCCCTGGCTGGCCTGGGACCGAGGGCTGGAGGGCGCTGTGCACAGAGCTGTGGACACCGGAGGCCAGGCCGGACTCGGGTCAGGAGGCTCCTCTGACTCTGGGGTGTGAGGTGGGCGCCAGGCAGCCCTGACAGGTGTGCTGGGTGACTGTGGCCAACTTGAACACGAAGGCTCCAGCTGCCCTGGGCCGTGCTCTGGCCGTGTCCGGGTGACAGACTCAGGGAGGGGAGGCCTGCCCCAGGGTGGCGGCGTCCAGCTTCCGCTTCCTCAGAAGAGCTGTCTTTGCCACCGTCACCTTGGCACATCGTCTCCAGGCTCCCGGCACAGACCCTTCAGCTTCCCGATGCGGACTCGAGGGGACGCTGCAGTGGGCGCCAGGCCTGTGAGCTCCCTCGAGGCTCTGCTCTGCAGTGCTCCGACAGCCCTCGTGCAGGGCTTTTTAGAGCATTCTGTACATTCTGTCGGATCGCTCCTCTACGTCCCCCATATGACAGGAGTGCTGCTCAGGCGGGGGCGGCTGGGCTCGGCCTCCGGTGTAGATGGACACTGGCTCTGACTACGGGTGGAAGGAGCAGCACAGGGACAGGACGGCAAATGGACCCAAACCGGCTAGACCTGGCCGAGAGCCCCGGTGGCAAACACGGGAAGCCCAGCTTAAGACTGTCACGAATGTAAGCAGCGCTTCTGGAGCGGATTCTTTGCTGGCTTTGCTCATTGAAAATGGAATTACCCAACGCCTGCCACACAGCACGTGTGTAAGAGCACACACTCACACTCCACACACACACCTTGGACAGCACATGAACGTCATGGCTAAGAAATAAATATTTGCTTTTTTTAAGTCTCCAAACTGCTTTTGCCCCTAGGTGCAATTTATTTTAAGGTAGAAATATGAGAAGTGGCTACGTCTAGGTTCGGAGCCTGAGAATAAGGCCAAACTGTGTGCTCCGGGGCAGTGAGTGGAATGCACCAATGTAACAATCTTGCTCTTCCCTGAGGTCTCCACCTCCCACCCACAGCACAGGTGCGCTGTCTGACTTCCTCTTTTAAATGTCAGACTTTCACCTGCTGACAGTCATTTGGTTGGCTTAGGGATGCTGCTAGGGCTTCTGTCCACCCCCAGGCCACTCGCTGAGATATGGACAAGCGACAATGGCCAGGGTGAACATACAGGGAGGCCGGCCGCAGCTTGGCGGGAGGGCTACACAGGCGACAGGCCTTGGCCACCTGCCTCCTAAACGTGGATCATACAGCACCCGCCCCCAGGGCTGCTGTTGGGAGCACTTAACACTCAGCCAAAGCACCTGGCATGACTTGCACCGTGGGGCAAGGGCTCCAAAGCAGCCCAGCAGCAGTTATTACTTCCTGTGAGAACCGTGGAGTGGTACCAGGCAGGAGCCTCCACATCAGCCCTAAGGTTCGGGGGAGGCTGGTCACCTGCGCGGGGCCAGCAGGGCATGGCCAGGCCTTAAAGGGCCATGAGACCTTGAGCACTGTTTCAGAAACGTACCTACAGGACCTGCGAGGACAGCTCCCTGGCTTGAGCCACAAGGGCCACCGCACGCCTCCTCAAACAACATGCTGGCACTCACCTGGCGGCTGGCTTCTGCTGGGGGGTTGAGGCACCCACTCCACGCACATCTCTTGACACGGGACACTCGTGACAGAGTGGCCACCAGCCCTGGCTTGCCAGACAGTGCCCCGGCTCAGAGGCCGTAAGTGGGAAAAAAGAAAGAAGGAGGAGACAGGCCTGGTGACTCGGGCCCAGGTGGCCTGGGGGGGAGCAGTGGGAGGGGCTCAGGGCTCAGCCACAGTGCACTCCAGGGCCACCCGCAGGGCACTGCTGGGAGGGACACTGGGCCTCTCCCACCCTACCTCTTGCTGAGCCCGAAGAGGCGCTGTGCCTGACGAGCAAGCCTTCGCAGGCCCTCCACAGCACGGCACGGCGGCAGGACCCTCCTGTAGGCCCCTTCTCGGGGCTCAGTATCCTGCCAGGCTCATGCAGGGGGTGCAGCCACGCTCCCCCCACAGCCTCCTCCGCCGCTGGCTCGCTGGTACAGCTGCACACGGCACAGTGTCTGCCTCAGGGCAGAGACTGCCGAACCCAAGCAGCAGGCAGCCTTCTGAGCCTTAGCCGTGACCGCACACCCTGTTCTCATCCGTTTCGGACTCGCCCACCCATAGCTCCTCCGGCACCTGCCTGCAGTCGCTGGCCCTGGGCAGTCGCTGCCAAGGAGGCTCTGTGGCCCAAAGCACCCTGGGTGAGTTTCGCCTCACCTGGTGCCATTCAGGAACCGGACAGGGCCATGGGTGTGAGCTACTGAGGCACACGTTAGCTGGGTCCCCCGACGAGGTGACTCAGGGTCAGCATTGGGGAAGCAACAGCTCCTCCAGGCCCCATCCCCTCCCGGGCAGCACGGGGTGGGTGCTCCAGTCTCAGCACTGCCAGGGCCCTGCTTGATGTGCAGCTCTGGGTCAAACTCCTCGCCTGTGCATCTGGCGGCCAGGAGGGGAGGCCAGGCCCCACCAGACCCTGCCCTACCCGCTTCCTGACACAGCAGCTGACCCTGCTGTGGAGGCGTGGGGGGCCCTGGCCGAGGGGCAGGGGACCTGGAGGCGTCCACAGCGCTCTGTGGAGACAGCATTGTGGGATGCAGGCAGGGGGTTGTAGTCTGCTTCAGGCCACCATTTGGGCTGGGCACACAAGTGTGGGTCCCTGGGAAGCCACTCAGGCCAGGGCCCCCAATCCCGGCCACACACCAGTACTGCTCTGTGGCCTGTTAGGGGTCGTGCCGTGCCACGCAGGAGGATGAGGCGGTCAGAGCTCCCTCGGGTCCCACCCATCGCTTCCAGGCCTGAGCTCTGCCTCCGGGCCTGGCCTGCATCCATTCTCTCTTGGGCGCCCAAACAGTGTGCTCTGCTGCAGAAACTGCACAGCCTGAAGCCAGGGGCCGAGAGACCAGGAGAGGACCTCTGCCTGGGGGTCCCTGGCTTTGCTTGGCGTGGTGGCACTTTGTGCAGTTTCATGTTTTTAAGAATGGACTCTTGTGGGAAAATCGCTACCCCAGGAAAATGAGCAGGCAGGGGGAGGACAGCGCTAGAGCAGCTCAAGGCAGATGTCCTCCCTGCCTGCCCCGCCCGGTGGGTGGACGGGGCCCAGGGTCCTGCAGAGGGCAGAGGAACGCACTTGGCTCCATTTTCATCACTGTCAGCCTCTGGGGCCATGGTGGATGAGAGCATGCACCTGCCTGAGGCAGCCACACCCCAACCCCAGCTTCCTTCTCTCAGCACTGTCCCCAAGCCTGACCGGCATTTCCTGAAAGTGACCAGAACTCTGTGCGCTCACCCAAAAAGCCAGCCTGCCAGCAAGCCCGGGCAGCCCCACCCACCCGCTCCTTCCCGGAAGCCCTGCAGGCTCCTGCCCATGTCAGCTGCAGTATGCTCCCCTCAGCACCTGGCCACAGGTGGGCAGGCAGTGAGGGTGGTAGGACCGGAAGCCGGGGGCGCAGGACTAAGGCTTCTAAAGAGCAACCTGGGGCAGGGGATTTAGCTCAGTGGTTCCGCCGCCTGCCCTGCAAGCGCAAGGAGCCGAGTTCGATCCCCGGTACCAAAAAAAAAAAAAAAAAAAAAGAGCAGCTCAGCCAAGGGCAGCACAGCAAGGGTCGCTGCTGGGCCTGAACTGGGTCCCCTTTCAAATTCATAGTCCCTGTACCCAAGACCCTGGGTGTGTTTGCACATAAGACCTTTAATGGAAGGTTAACTTAAATGAGGCCTTTAGGGTAGGCCTGACCTTACCTGCCCAGTGTCCCTGTGAAAAGAGGACACCAGGTGTGCACACAGGGGTGACCGTACAGAGGCGTACAGAGGCACAGCCCAGTGGGGCCATTTCCCAGCTAAGGAGAGAAGCAGCCCACTCTGCCGTCACCCTGACCTGGGCTTCCAGACTGCACAGCTGCAGGGCGACACCCTGGTTTGGTTTAAGGCGCCAGTCTGTGGCATCTCCCTGAGGCTGCCGGAGCTGACCAATGGACTGCTCAAGCCAAGAGGGACAGGCCGCGGTGGCAGACATGGTCCCTTCAGCCAGACGGCCAACCCAGCTCCCCGTGTCATGTTTTCCGGGTCCTCTCATGGGAAAGTGCAGGGAGCAGGCACACGATGGGCACGGGGAAGAGGGGACATCGACTCACTGTTCGGCCATGCTTGGGTCCAGGGAATCAGTTTCCGTGGGCGTCGCTGGCAAAGAGGAGCCGGACTCCTGGATCTGGCACAACTCCTCGTCCGTGATGATGTCGAACACGGCGTCATCCGGCTGCCTGCAGTCAGCTCCTGGTGACAGGGACGGGCCAGGAGGGAAGAGATGGTGCATGGTCACCATGGGGTGGGGAAGCTGAACAAGCCGCTGGGACAGTGCTGGTGTCACTCAGCGGAGTGCTGTTCTGTTCAGGAGTGAGAGGAATGGCTGGAGAGTCAGTCCAGGAAGGCAGAGGGATGACAGCTGAACCTGAATTCACAGCACTAGGCAGCTGACCAGGGCCTTGGGTCTGAACTTGCAGGCCACTCAACAGGGAGGACACCATAGGGACAGCAGTGCTAGTCACCACCCACAAACACCCATTAGTGTATGTCACAGAAAACCTGAGGGCAGGTCTAAGGCAGAGCCAATAAAGAAAAGAAGAGCTGAAGAAAAGAAAAGAAAAAAGGCATAAAGAAAAAAATGAGCAGACAGGAAATATAAGAAAGAACACAAGCAATGGGTGCGGTGGCTCACTCATGTAATCCCAGCACTCTGGGAGGCTGAGGGCAGGAGGACTGCATGTTTGAGCCCAACCTGAGCAACTTAGGAAGACCCTGTCTCAAAGTTTAAAAAAGGGATGTGTGTGGGGGGCTGGGGATGTAGTTCAGGGCAAAGGACCTGGGTTCAATCTCCAGTACTGCCCAAAAGCAAAACAAAACAAAAAATAGAACTGAGGGAAATGGAAGACCAAGTACATGGGAAGCTATACCATGTTCATGGATCAGAAGTCCATTTTAATAAGACATCAATTCTCCCTAAACTGATCTGTACAGATTCAACACAACCCCAATTAATATCTCACCAGGATTTTTTTGAGGGGGTAGAAATTGACAAACTGACTACAAATTTCTATAGAAAAGCAATGAATCTACAACTGGCAATATTTTGACAAAAAACAAAATTGGAGGATTCACTCTATTTGATTTTAAGATGCTTTGTAAAACTACGGCAACCATTCAGTATGGTACTAGTGAAATAGGTATGTAGCTAAGTGGAATGGAATGGAGAGTCCAGACAGAGACCCACAGATATAAGGTCAACTGATTTTTGTGAAAGTTCAAAGGCAAGTCTATGGAACAGACTTTCAGCCACTGGTGTTGGGGCCACTGGATAACTATATACAAAAAAACAAAAACCAAAACCAAAAATCTACCAAGACTTTATTCATACTTTGAATAATACATAAAAATTAACTCAAAAATGAGCCACTAGGGCTGGGAATTTAGCTCAGTGGTTCTGCTGTCTGCTTCGCAAGCACAAGGTCCGGAGTTCAATCCCCGGTACCAAAAAAAAAAAACAGCCATTGACGTAAATACAACCTAAAACTATAAAATGGGCAGAAAACAAGGCAAGGCTTTTTAATACTGGGGTTAAACAAAGCTAGGTATGACACTGGAAGTGAAGAAAAAAATATTTGTAAAGCACGGATCTGTTTAAAGAAACTTGCACCCAGGATATATACAGGATTCATAAACTCATCATTTTAAAAAATGGGCAAAAGACTTGAAGACATTAATGCTGTGCAAAGTACACACCACCCATCCAATGGGCAGAGCTTTATCCAGTAAATCGCAGGGCGTGACAACGCCCTTGCTGGTCCCCTGGGACACAAGGGAACAGCAGTATGTCCTCCGGGCCACCGAGAGAGGGTGAGGATGTGGACTGCTGCTGCACTCTTGGTCTGGGGTTACCGTGGGAACAAGGGGGACACTGGGGCTGAAGTGTGGGGTGCATTCCACTGGTGGGCCCCTGCTACAGCCCTCAGGTTAGAGCACACTGAGTCCTAACAGGAGGAAGCTGTTTCCCTTTTGATCCTAGAGACATCACAAAGAGAGCCTCAGGTTGGTGGGAGTGTACGTCTAGCACCTCTCTGACAAGTATGTTCGGAAAACATTGCAGCCAGCTTGCTAGGGCTCACTGCCTACAGCGGGTGGGGCGAGAACACCGTGGGCAGGCGCCTGACCTTGGCTTCCTACGGCCTGGGGCCCAGCGTGGGCCGGGGACAGCCTGGGGCTGGGCTCTCCTTGGCTGGTGGCTGAGCCAGAGCTGTTGGGGGAGCCTGGGCCTTCACTGAACTTCCGGAAACAGGCCCGGCAGCAGCGCTCCTTCCTGCCGCTGGGCTTCGTCAGCACATAGTTGTTGCAGCAGTAGTAGCAGAAGACGTGGCCGCACACCCTGGGGACGAGACAGGGCCGAGGCTGTGAGGACGACGTGCCGGGGCCTCCTGCAATGTGTGGCCATGGCCCATGACATAAGGTTCTGGAACAGCCAGCGTGGCAAGCTTAGCAGGAAGATGGCTCACTCCCAAGGTCCAGGGAGGTGTGGAGGGAACGTACAAACCCACCTCCTCGACACCAGGCTGGAGTGTGTGTTGCACACCTGGGGCTCAGGCTCTCAGGGCCCCAGACCTCCCTGGCAGTGCTGAGCACTGTGCACCTGCCCCTTGCCGCCTGCCCGCCTCTCATCTTCACCCATTGCTCGGGGCCCTGGGGTGGGGGTGGGGTGAGGAATCTGCACTTCCGGCCCTGCCTGATCCCCTGGAGGAGCCCAAGAACCAGCTCCCCACAGGGCTCCAGAATGGCCTCCCCTCTGCTCCCTGCAGCCGGTCTCTGGGTGGGAGACATCCCCGGGGCCTCCTGAGCCTTGCCTGCACCTCTGTGCTCAACTCTCCTTTCAGGGAGACCCGAGTTCTTGCTAGTACCCAACTAGCACAGCCTCTGCGTCTGTGCCCTGAGCCAGGAGGCAACGCAGAGCCCTGCCTGGGTGCAGGACGGCCCCCGGGCACTGGCTGACCTGCAGTGGTGCCGTCGAACCATCCAGCTGAACTCCCGCTTGCAGTCCAGGCAGTGGCTCGCCTCCGCGTCCCCCAGCCACCGCTCCTCGGAGCTGAGCTTCTGCTGGAACTCCAGGGCGTCCGACTTCTGCCACAGCGCGTCCTTGTCCCTGGGGCAGAACCACATTAGGAGGAGTCACGAGAACCAGAGAAGCACCCAGCCTCACTTCAGAAGACTAACAAGTTATGAAGGTAAAAGAAAGAGTTGTGAATGGCTGGCTAACATTTAAAAATGAGGACATTTCCCACAAAAGCCAGATTTCTACCCTCTCTTGAGAAGCAAGGTGACCTGGCACCTTGGAGCCCGGTGCTGACAGGGCTGCTGGCCCTGCAGGGGCCTCTGGTGTCGAGGGAAGGGACAGCGGGCGAGGGGAGGTCCATGAGCGAGGGGCAGGGGATGGGGATCCCAGGAGCCGTGGAACAGCGTGCGCCATCTCTCGGGGACAAGACACAGAGGGTTTGAAATGCCCGCAGCGCAGGCTGGGGCTCACCTGAGCAGCTCTATCAGGCGCTCCTCCAGGTACTTCTTGGTTCTGTGCAGGTCGTCCAGGTCTGCCAGCATCTTCTGGTCGCTCCGCTCCCGCTCGCTCACCTCCTGGCGGAGTCTGTTGCAGTACTCTTGGCTTCTGGTGGTGGCGATCTCCAGTTCCTTCTGGGTCCTGGGCAGGGGGGAGAGTTTCTCCATGAGCCAAGCTGCTCTGTTGCCTGAGGGTCCAGCTGCTCCCACCTTCTGCTCTCCACAGTGGGGCTCTCAGCACTGTCTGCTCACAGGTTACAGGCCCCCAGGACGAGCCCCTCCTCACTGCTCCCAGACATAAAGTGGCATCTGAGAGGGTGGGGTGACACTGGATTGCTAGGAGCACCCCAAGTGAGCTGAGTTCTGCTCCCTTAGCTCCTGAGGCTGAGAGGAGTCTGGGTAGTGACTGGGAGGGGCAAGAAGAGTCAGGACAAGAAGGGAGGCGAAGCTTCCGGGAGGGGGTGGTGAAGGGGGACTTGGCCCCTTAAGGTCTTTGGGGCTCTCATGGAGCATGGCACTGGCCCAAGCCAGTCTGCTACCTAGTAGCCCCCAGGCCCAGTGAACTGTGTTCTGGGTACTCTGGGGTCACAGCGTGTGGCAGAGGCAGGCTGTCTTCTGCCCTCATCCACTCTACCTGCAGCCATCCCCTAAGCCAGGGGTCTTCTGAGGATGCCCACTATAGCCAGGGTCCAGCGGGACATCCGAAGCGCTCCAGGAAACAGAGGGCTCGGTAGGGACAGGAACTTGTTTGTCCTAATCCCAGCCCTTCCCCAGTTGTCTAAGTTGTCAGGAGGTGGTTATTCGATGGTGTCCACCATGCACAAAATACTTCAAACAAAACCCAACCCTGGGCAGATGCATTGGGTAACTCTGAGCAGCTAAATCAAATGCTCTGCTATCTTACAAATAACCAGTGTTGCAGCGTTTACTAAGACACGGCCACCTCGAGAGGGTCTGTTTAGGTCATGTGCGTGGACCTGGCTGGGGTGGCCAGAGCCCCCGGGACCCAGCACCGGGAGGGGCAGGCGGGCTGAAATGCACTCCAGCCTCTGACCACCAAATGCTCTGGGTCTCACTGAGCCTTGCCCAGCCCCCCAGGAAGGTGGAGGGAGGAGGCCAGCAAGGCAAGGAGGGACAGCAGAGCCCCGGACAACTCGGTGCGCCTGCTTCCCCCTGCTCAGCTGCATTAATCGGGCCCTGGCTGCACAAGTATGGACCCATCAGCAGACAGTGGCCTCAGGCCCCTAGGCTGAAATGTGGGGGTGTGGAGGTCCTCGGGGATGGCCACAGACCAGCGCTGGAGGCCACACCCTGACGTGACATGCCGCGCATAGACACCGCCCCAGGCGGCTACACGGGGTGGGCGGAGCCTGGCCCTTGGCCCACTTCTCCCATGATGGACAGGGATAAACAGTACTATCTTCACAGGCCTGGCAGGAGGATGAAATAGGTAACTGAAGGCTGAGCATCCCTAATCCAAAAATCTGAAACACAAAACACTCCGAAACCCAAAAACTCCTCTGGCTCCAAGCACTGTGCATTAAGGATACCCTACCTGTATGTGCAAAGTATTTAAAACTGTGCTTGCCACATCTGATGTACTAATTAAATGCCTGCTGCTACTCCTCCCATCGTGGTTAGCATGCACTTCTGTCTCATTCTAGTTTTTCCAAAGGATGCATTAATGCTCATCCTGCGGCAGCTAAGAAAACCAAACAAGAGTGACAGTGGCTGAGAGCAGGTTGAGGCCGCAGACGCCGGCTTCCTGGGCTGTGCTTCTGCACAAGGATTTCCTCGTCCCCATGTGAGTGGCTGGGTTTCTAAATGACTGCACTGAATGCATCTGAAGACGGCCGGGGCTGCGTGGGTGTTGCGAGCGACTCACCGTTCCAGGCTCTCCCGCAGGGCCGAGCCCTCCTTGTCCTTCTGGACCACGGCAGCCTGGCACTCGGAAAGACGGCTGCTGGTGCAGCTCAGCTTCTCTCCCATGTCCGCCTGGGTGGCCTGGGGCAGCACAGCGGGACAAGGCACTCAGTTTCCTTGAGCCCACCCCAGACGCCACAGGGCTGACGTGCCTCTGGCCCAGCCGGCTGGGTCACTTCTAAGGGAAGGTTCTGTGGCTGCTGCTGCTGGTGGGGTTTAGGTCAAGACTTTTAATTTCAAGAGGCCAAGGACCTCTGCTCTGTACTGTGGGGTGCGACGCATCCTTAAGCTCCAAGTGCGAGGGGCTCTGGCGGCTGCAGGGGCTGAAAGTGTTGGAATGCCTGGGTGGTGCTGAAGGCCAGTGCTGCCCCTGAACTGGTCAGAGACTGAGAATGCCCAAGGAGATGGCCAAGGAAGGCAGCTGATCTGCCCACACTTGACAGCTCCAGCCAGGGATGAAGCGTCAGGACACTAAATCAGGGTGTCTACAACTGGTGACAGGGTGTCTGAACTGCTGACTGGTTCTGCTTGGGGACAGGAAGCCTTCCCGGGGCCCCTGGGGACCCTGCTAAATGGTCCACTGATCCCAAACGAGAGCCCAGCTCCCGGCAGCTGCACGCCGGGCTGTGCTACCTTCAGCTTGCCCACGGCCTCTTCGGTGGCCCGTAGCTGTTGGCCTTGCTGCTCAAGCTGGGCCCTGAGGCTCCTGCACTCTTCAGTGGCAGCCTGGAAAGGACAGGAAGGGACATCGGAGAGGGGTCCTTGCTCTACGACTCCTTCCGCCTCATCACCCCAGTGGGTAAAAACAAGCCACCACTGTTTCTAAAGTGGCTCCTCAATAGGCTTTAGGCAATCCTGGTAACAAGATACTTTCAAGATTACTAATGAAAGAGCCTCAGCTTGGTCCTCAAACTGAGAATCCAATTTCTGCAACAGGAAAAGTGGCCCACGAGCCTCAGGGAGCCTCATGGGCTGGGGTCTTGCAGGGGGGTGCAGTGGCTGACGTGTGCAGAGACCTCGATGTACACAGACCAGCACTGGGGTGCACGGGGACTGCTGACCTCAGAGCTCTGCCTGGCCCCAGGGCCCTGGAAAAACCTGGCCTTCACCGAGGCAGTCAATATTCCTGGGACTTTGCAGGGACCTCTGACACCTATGTGGCCAGGGGGACTAGGCACAAGAGTGCAAGGGAAAAAGCAGCGGATGGGAGCTGGCTTTGAAGTGGACATTGCCACTAAGCTCCTGCCGATGACAGCCACATGGGGATGTGGGTACAGGCGTACAGATCTGGTGAGATCTCAAAAGCATCCACAAAACATCCTGCTCTTTAAATGGCTACTAGTGCTAAAACTGTCTGGGTAGGCTGGTCTTATCTGCCATAGTCTTAACTTGCCTGGTGGAGGCCGTATCTCCAGTGCTCTGGCCCTGATGTGTTCCTTCAAGGAGAGAGGCTGCCGGGAGCTCTGGCAGTGAGGTGGGACCATGGGTGTGTGCCTGCACCCCGAGTCCCTTCTCTGGCTTCCCCTGCCCGGTGGCTGCAGGAACAGCCTCTCCTGGCCCCCTCAGGCCCGCCCGGCTGGGTGGAGCTGGGGTTACCTTCAGCCGGCTCTGGTGGTCCATGATCTCGGCACTCAGCTGGAATTTGAGGGCGTCGTGCTCCTGGTGCTTGGCCTCCTCGAGGCTCTGCGCCCGCTGCTCGGCCTGGGCCAGCTGGGCCTGCAGGCTGGCCAGGGAGCCAGCGGCGTTCTCGGCTGCCGTCAGCTTCTCCTGTAGGCTCGCCTTCTCCTGCAGCAGCCCTGCCACTTGGCGCTCCAGGCCCTCTCGCTCTTGGGAAGCGGCCTCTCGGCAGATGCGGAGCTCCCCCTCCACACGTTCCTTCTCCGCAGTCAGGGTGCACACCTGGATGCCCAGCTCTGCGGTGTCTGTGTTGGCCCGGTGCAGCTGCTCCTGCAGCTCAGCGTGCTCCAGCCGGGCCTCTTCGGAGCTGCGTGTGGCCTGGGCCAGCTCCTCCTGCAGGGCCCGAAGCTCCTGCCTGCGCTGCTGGGCCGCAGAGGCCCTGCCCTCCTGCAGCAGCTCCTGGACATGGGCCCTGTTGAGGGCCTCGTTTTGCTCCTGCAGCTGCTGAACCAGGGTCCTGTGCTCCCTCAGCATCTCCTCGGCCACACTCAGCTGGCTCTGCACCTTGTCCTGGTCGCCCAGGGCTGCCCAGAGCTTCGCCTGCAGGTCTACCAGCTCAGCCCGCAGCCGCTCGGCCTCCCCCTGATGGACTTCAAGCTGGGCCTGGGCCAGGGCCAGCTGCGTGGTCCCATCTTGGGGTGGGCCGAGCCCCTGCTGGCCCTTCTCCGCCTTGAGGGCATCGATCAGCTGGGCCTGGTGGTGGCACTCCTCCGAGAGGACCCTGAGATCTTTGTCCCGGGACTCTGCCACCTGCCGGCACTGCGCTACCTCCTCCCGCAGCTGCCGGCACTCGTCCTCCTTGCTCTGCAGAGCGGCTTCCTTCTTGGCCACCTGCGCCTTCATGGTCTGCTTGGCCTTCTGCACGGCCAGCAGGCTCGCCTCCATCTGGTCACCCAGGTGCCGGATGCTGGCCTGCTCTGCCTCCAGGGAGGCCAGGGAGCCCCGGATGGCCGCCTCCCGCTGCTGCAGCGCCTGGTAATCAGCCTGCAGGGCCTGCAGCTTGCCTTCCAGGAGCTGGTTGCGCCCAGCCATGCTCTGCAGCTCCCTCTGCAGCTCCCAGTTGGCCTGGCGTAGGTCCTCCTCCTCCTGTTTGGGCTCCTGCACCTCAGTACTATCCCTTTGCCCCTCTGCTGGCTTCTCGCCGGCCTGCTGCAGGGTGGAGACTGGGGAGGCCGGGGCCTCACCCCACTCACTGGCCACAGAAGGCTCTGGGGCTGCCTGCTCAGCGAGCTGCTCCAGAGCACCCACTTTCTGGCTGAGACGGTCCTTGTCCTGGATGAGCTGCTTCTTCTGCTCCTCAAGGTCACCCACGTGCTGGCTCACCTGTGCCAGCTGGGTCTCCAGGACTTGCAGCTGCCGGCTGAGGGACCGGGCCTCCTGTGCCAACATCTCCTTCTCCTCCTGTTGCAGCTGCTCCTCCCGCCTCAGCCCTGCCAGCTGCTCCTCCAGTGAGCTCGAGCGGGCGAGCGACTCCTGCAGCTGCTGCTGGAGCTGGGCTGCCTCCTGCTCCTTCCTGGACAGCTCTTTTCGGAGCTGTGCCACCTCCTGCACCTGGTGCTCCAGGCCAGCCCGGGCCTCTTCCTTCAGCTGCAGCTCAGTGGCCAGCTGTGCACTCTGCTGCCTGTTGAACTCTTGGACCTTGGAGTTCTCTGCTTCCAGGGATTGGAGCTTCGCCCCCAGCTCCTGGAGCTTCAGGGCCGAGTCGGCTGGGATGGGCCCTTGCTGCCCCTTTGTGTCCAAGGCCGTGTCTGCCCTCTGCTCAGCCCTGGCTAGGCTGTCTGAGAGGCTGGAGAGAAGCTGGTTCTTCTCGCCCAGGGAGTCCCAGGCAGCCTTGAGCTCCCGCGCCAGGGGCTGCAGCATGGCCCCAAGGTGCTGCAGGGTGGAGCTGTCCTCCTCCTTGGCTGTATCTCGCTCTAGGGCCTGTAGGCACATCTGCAGCTCCTTGATGGTATCCTGCGTGGCCTGGGTGACCTCCCACTGCTTCTGCAGCTCAGCCAGCAGGCCCACGAGGTGGCGGTGGTCCTCTGTGGCAGCGTGCCCACGCTGCTTCTCCACCTGCAGCTGCTCCTGCTGTGTGCTGAGTGCTGCCTGCAGCTCCTGCTTCTCCTGTTCCAGCTGCTGCACGCGCTCCTGCAGCTGCTTCTCCCGCACCTCCAGCTGGTCCAGCTCCAGCCGCATCTCGTCGAAGCCCTCCAGTGCCTCGTTGTTCAGAGGACTGCTCAGGTCGAAGTTGGACGCCATCTCCTGGGTCTGGGGTGGGGAACACAAAAAACAAGTGCTTTAGGAGGAAGCTAACTTGCTACTTGGAGAAGCTAAAGTCTAACAAAAGCGGAAGTAAAAGTAAGGGAATTACCTGACCTAAGGTGAGTCTACAAAGCTGTTCAAAGGACTAGAGCTCTGTTCAAAGCACCTGCCACACAGAGGTCAGCAGCATATTCAAAAAACATGGCAAGTGTTTAAACTTTTAAAAATCATTACAGTAAGACATTTGGCCATGAATCTCCCTCAAGATCCTCCCCTTCACTTCGCTGTCCTGGCTGCCTCAATGTCCTAATCAATAAAAAAAAACCTTGACCTTTCATGGTTATTTGGGCTTTGGGGAAGAGCCAAGGGTCACATGGTGCCAAGTCTGGTGACTAAGGTGATGAGGACACAGCATTGTGTTTTTCGAGCTCCCTTTCTGTTGGATGGTGCCTGGCAGCAGCAGTCACTGTATTTGTGATCACACCTCATAAGACACTCAGGAAAGAGGACTCCAGAGTTGTTTCAGAAAGTGGCTGGGACCACGGGGTAAGTGTGTTTAAAGTGACGGGGAGGGTTCTGAGGGCGATTCATAGCAATGTGTCTTTTACAGAAACAAATTTTAAAACTTGAAACATTTACTTTATATTTCAGCTACCTCTTATATTTAAACTATGGTCTACCCACTGTACCATGCCCATAAGTTCTGGCATGGTTATACCACCAAAAGAGGTAAAAGGATGGTCTAGCTTCTATTTTTTAATGCTTATTTTGTATACTGCTGATCAATTTCCACAAAATTACATACAGCTATGATACAATCACATTTCTAAACAAAATTACCAAACTCTGTCACCTATTGTTTCTTGGTTTGTGCTTCTGTTACACTCCTTTGTTCACGACCTGGGTAGCTTTTATTATCCTATCTTACGGAGGAGAGAGCTGAAGATTCCAGACTTAAGTAATTTCTTCTTAGCCACAGCTGGTAGGTGACAGGGTAAGGATTCAGTTTTGTGGCTTTTTAGCCATGGTGCTAAACTGCTTCTTTTAAGAGACTTTAAAATCTTTTAAAATACTTTAATTTTAAAATGGCCTAAATTCTATTTGGCTATAAAAACCTGGACTCCAGGAAACGGCAGGTGTAACCTGAAGGACTGCACTGTGCTGGCTCAAACAGGTCTCTGTGGATGTCACCCTTGAGTTGCTAGGGTCAAGGACAAATCCCGTTTGACAAGAACAAGGCAACCCCAGCCCCCTGGCCTTACCTGCAAGTAGCTGCTCACCAAGCTGCTCATGCTGGAGCTCCGGCTGGGGGCCTTCCACAGGTAGGCAGGGGAGCCGGGGGCCAGAGTCCTCCTGGGGGCCACAGACCAGACAGATTTGTATTCGGAGCAGGGAACACAAGTGCACATGCACACACAAGTGCATGCAGACACACGGAGGCCTAGGTGGTCACCAGGGGCTGCCACGGTGTGGGTGCAGCCAGGATGTGTTCACCCCAGGGCTCCTGTGTCGGGAGCCTGGTCCTCAGGTGGTGGCAGGAGAGGTGGTAGGAACTTGATCAACAGGGATGGGCCCCCAGCAGGTGAGTGGGGCTCGGCCTGTCAGGCTTCCCAGCCTAGAGAGGTCATCTTTTGTTCCTGCACCCCGTGCCCCCACTGCTACTCACCATGAAGTGAGAAGGCCAGGGGGCCCCTTGCCGGGGCTGCGGCACACTGTGGAGGCCTCTCAGCCTCCAACTTTGTGAGCTCAGTAAAGCTGAGGTGGACTGACACAGGGCCAGTGCCCCTGGGCAGCGTGGCTCTGAAGAGGTTAAAAAAAACCCAACCCTTCCGTCAAAAAGCCAAAGAGCACAGCTACAGGTCTGTGACGAGGACTCCGCCATGATGGTTCCACCATCAGGGCTTCTCTCCACCACCAAAAAAGAACTGAGTGAATGAATTCCCCAAGTTGGGGTTGAAGTTTTCCTTGAGTTTTCGACACCTGTCCTGGAGGTGGTACAAAAGGTCACACTGTGCTTAGGGCGCAGTCACCACCTTCCACTGCACACAGATAATGCAGCTGAAGATCCGCCACGGTTCACACAACCACACTGGACGGAGCAGGCCCGGAACCTTCCTTTACCGCAGGAACCGCGCCTGGATGGTACGAGCCCAGGACTACAGGCTCATGTGGCATCTCCTGTGTGTGCTGCAGGAACACGGCCACCTACTCACACATTTAGCAGCAGAACTGGCTCCAGAGCCTGAAGCTGCTGCACTGTCTGTCTCCATCCCAGCCGCTCCCTTGTCAGTAACTGCCCTGAAGACAGAGGTCCAGGTGCACAGGAGCAGGGCGGGGTGCCCCTGAAGGAAGGAAAGGAGCCCAACTCTCCACTGGCCAGAACCAGATGCACAGTGGTGCTGTGGGGCGCTCCTTCCTCATAAGGGCCAGTCAGTGAGGATTCAGCCACACTGTGGCAGCAGCGCAGCTATGGACAATACATAAGGACACTGGTGACGCTGTGATCCACTGGCCCATCGGCTATGATCTGCTCGCCCTGGCTCTACAGCCACGGAATCCCATGTGCAAATGCAGGCAAAAAATCTCAAAGCAACATGTTGAGGACCAGCCATGATATGTATAGATTGGTGGGGGCCAGGCTACAGGCCCTGCAGTCCTGAGGCTGATGTGACTTCCTTTAGGAATAAGGAAATACACACAAGGCTACATATTTCCTGGCTGTGTGGGGAAAGCTCACAATCACAGTGCTCCTAAGGCAAGATAACACTGCTAGGACAATGCAAAAAACAAATGCAGGAATCCAGGTATGGGAAGGACTCAATCCCCATTAACTTGCTCCCTTTGTGAGGACTGACTTGTTTCTCATTCTCTGTTGCCCCATTCCTAGTGCAGTCGCTGTTCTACTACGCCTCCCGCTGCGCTTCTTGCTGGCTAATACAAGTGGGTCAACTGCGGAGTCTATGGAGTCTGTCCACTAGAGGCAGGCTCCTCCGGGGCCCCTTAAACCTTGACTATTGTCTCTGTCTCTCTTTATTCCCTGTCATCCCTCCCCTACAGGTATCTGTGGGTCTGATCAGCCCCCAGCAGCAATGTCAAATGGAAAGGCAAGATGTGACAGGCTCGCTATCTCAGGGTCCAATGTGTGTAAATTTTAAAACTACACACAGAATAAAACTGTATGCAATCATAAAACATGTATGGATGCACACATGGTAAAACACGACCATCTGGACTTGAGGCACATCCACTGCACCAAGGCCATGATGACCTCTGGACACGGAGGAGGGGGAAGACGGCACTGAGCTGGGCTGGGGCTGGGTCCACGGCATTTTATTTCTCAATAGAAACAAGTATCAGGCATAAGATAAAACCATTGCAAGGACCAACTTGAAAAGTCTCCCACTGGCCAAATACGGCCAATTTAAGTTTCAAAATAAACAGTGGCAGAGTGCAACCCTAGTGAGTCAAATAAGATCCAAACCAATACTGATTTGTTTTTTTTGGGTTTTTTTTGGTACCAGGGATCGAACTCAGGTCCTTGCACTTGCCTAGCAGGCAGCGAAACCACTGAGCTAAATCCCCGGCAATAGGCCAATACTGATTTAAATGAACAGATCAACGCAGAAGAAGAAAAAGCTCACCCTGCATAGAATGGAAATTGATAATGAAAGAGGAAAACCATGCTGGATACCCTGACAGTAATGATTGCTTCAAGTAAAGCTTATTAACCAATGCTAAAAGCAAGAGCAGACAGACTTACGAGAAAAAAGACCGCAACATTCTCGAAGCATCTTCCTGTAAGATTCACCTCGATTATATAAGGAGAAGGACTGACCTTAAGACAGTGATGGCGAACCTTTCAGAGCTTTCAGTTATCACTGAACCGTTCGTTATGACTAACAAACCACCTGCTGTGGCATGAGTACTGCAGGTTCAACACCACTGCCTTAAGAAGCCTGGCCAGGGCCGGGGATTTAGCTCAGTGGTTCCGGCGCCTGCCTCGAAAGCGTAATGTCCAGAGTTTGGTCCCCGGTACCAAAAAAAAAAAAAGAAGCCTGGCCAATCCCACCTTCACCAAAGGATCATGGTTAACGGACACAAAACCCATCAACACCATGTGCTCCAGCAGATTGCAGACAGGAACATGGCCCCAGGGTTCTGCAAATAGGGCTCCAGTGGAATCCAACAAGGAGGAAACATCGGACAAACTCAGGTAAAAGAACAACTCACAAAGCAACTGGCCAGTAGTTTTCAAAAATGCCAATGTTGGGAAAGGCAAAGGTAGAGAAACTGTTCTAAACTAGAAGGGGCTCGAGAGGCCTGTGAATCTGGATTGGGTCCTGGATTTAAAAGACATTATTGAGATGCTCTGGAAAATTTGAATAATGTCTGTAGGTTAGATAGCCACATCCAGTCAATGTCCATTTCCTGATTTTACTAACTGTCCTGAGGCTACAGACGAAGTCTCTCATTTTTAGGAGACACGGTGCTTGCAGGAGCAGGGTATCAACTCTGTAACTTAGGCCCAGAGGGCTCAGGAACAAGCCCATGAGAAAAAGAAAGGAAGAATGATGAAACACTTGCAGCAAAATATTAGCCATGAGGGATCAAGGAGAAGGGCAGATAAATACTCTGTACTGTTACTGCAAACTTTTATAATTCTGAAATGACTCAAATTAAAAAGTTTAAACAAGGGCATGTGAACACAGCAAATGTTGGCTATTAAATCTCGGTGGTCGCTTTGTGGCTATCATACTCTTCTCTATATATTCAAAGTATTTCCTAGTTTAAAATAACGTGAGGACTGAAATTTGAAAACCCTATTTGCCATGTGGTAACTACTGGCTTGCGTCTAACCCCAGTGCGGCATGGCCTGCTGCCTGCCAGCTGTTCAACTGGTTACATCTGTCCACCCTTGGGGTCCAGAAAAAACAAAGGAATAAAAACACAGCAACCTCTTCAGCCAGCCTTACGGCACAAGCTGGAGCTTTCACTCCCTTTCCTGCAGCTTAGAAGGTGATAGTGGTGTAAGAACTCAGTGGAAGAAAGCCCACGCGTGCTCCTAGCCCTACTTCCACGCCCTGTCCCCTCAGCCCTCTCCAATCAGATCAGTTTATGGTCGGAGCCTTCAGATGCTATCTCAGTTATGACTCAGGAAACGGCAAAATTAGCAGGCAAAGAGCTACCTAGCTGGATGCGACTGACGAGTAAAACTTCTTCAAACGTTTCCAAAGCCTCAGACATCTCTTTCCCTGAGCTTTACGGTGTCAAGCGGTTCTTCAAGGTACCTGGCAAATGTCGGCCAAGCGGCATCCAAATCGTGGCCCCTCGATGCCAGGTCAAACTGCACCTCGGTCAGCTCGTAGAGCTGGCCCACGATGTCAGAGCTCAACTTTAGCTTCAGAAAGGGGCTTCTCGCATAGTACCAGTCGCTGGAGAAGAAGATGCAACATGGGGATTAGAAGGGCAGTAGGGGTAAGGGAAGAGTGAATCTAATCAGTCCTCGGTGGCTAAATTAGTTGAAGACACAACACAACCACTTTCATTTTCAGTGCAGGAGCAGGTAACTCAAATGAGCTCGCTCTTCTGCAGGGAAATTGCAGCACTGATCTGGATCTTTATACATTTATTATTTATATCACATCTATTTCCCCAAAGGGCTGTGGGAAAGTGTAACTCTCATACTTGCCAAGAAGGGGCAACCGTGGGGAACAGCACACTTCCTTTCTGAACGGGAACCTTGCCCCCTATTCCTCTTCCAGAACTCAACATGAGACGCCAGGCTCACTGCTAACCTCTGCCCAGACACCGATCAAACGCCAAGGCACAGACTCTACCCAGGGACTTTATCTGTGTGCTAGACAGTGGTCGGCTCACTTCATATGAAGCAACAAGATTCGAAACAGGTAACACCGATGAGGTGGAGAGCTAGTCACCCGGCGCTGTCTGGCTGGGGTGAGCTCAAGCTGCTTAGGGAGACGGTTGGCACCAGAGATCTAGAACAAAACACCCTTCCCGTTGACCCACACCCACTCAAGAGGCCTATCACGCACACAACTGTGTTTTCGTCTACAATTTAAAAATGATTTCTCCGATGAACTAGGGCACTCCTCAGGACAGGTGAGGCAGAGCCCACTGATGGGCGTGTGACCTGCAGTGCCCGCCTAGGCCCACCTCCCTTCACACCCTCTGTCCTGCCCCTCCCCTCCCCCACCAGGTGCAGCGCGGGTGACACGGAGACTGACACACGGACAGCGGGGCCCCCCCAAGGCTGGCTGGCCCTCCATCTCCAGAAGCCCAGATATCCTGGGATATCCTGCCACATGTGGCAGCTGAGGCCAGGTTCAGAGTTAAAACCCCTGCTGGCAATGGTGCCGGGAGCCCACGGCTGCACCTGTCTGCCCATGCCTGCCTGGATTTGGGGTTAGACAAGGCTCCAAGCCTCAGCTTCACAGCTTGCAGCCATTCCGGCCCCTCCACACCCAGGGCAGCTCGGGGATGCCCAGCCCTGTGCTCTGGATGGCAGTGGGCGGGGCAGAGGGGAAGGATGCATGCAGAAGGTGCCTGCCCCAGGGGGACACGGGGCACCAGGGTGCAGCTGTCATTGTTATGAAGGAGGGACACGGCCCACACCTACCTGGTGACCTTGGTGTTCATGAAGCACTGCTGCAAGGTGTCTGCCAGCCTCTGGTGCACCAGGGAGTAGCGGATGAAGGCTCTTCCTTTCCCCAGAGATGTCCGGAGCTGGAAGGAGCAGAGCAGAGCAGCGGGGGAAGCGCTGTCAGCCGCCCTCCAGCACAGGCCCGGCTTCCTGGAGGCCCACGGGAGCTAGGCCTGGGCAGAACACGCCGTCCAGAGCAGCCCCAAACACCCACGCGGGTCCCTCCATGGACACCAGGAGGCTGACGTCACTCCAGAGAGTGAGGGGTGTGGGTGCGTTCTGCGCTGGCCTCGCCTGAAAATAGGCTGCGGCCCCAGGACATGGGTGCAGGGGGACGCTTCCGTGCCGACCCACACATCGAGGAGTCCATGCACTGCATCCACCCTCCTTGGCGCTGTCAGGGTCTCTGAGTCAGACACAAAACCCCTGATTTAATTTGGAAGATCAGAGCCACCCCAGAAGCAAGCTGTAGCGGAAGGGATGGTCTCAGCTGGGCGAATGTGGTGTTTTGAAGGTGCCGGGAACAGGTGCAGGGGAAGAAGGCCTCAGAGGCTCGCAGCCCGTGCAGGAGAAAGAGGAGGCAAGGGCAGGGCCGGGGAGGGGGCTTTAAATTTTGCTGGGTGTGTAACCCCCGCCACCATCTCCACAAAACAATCAGCACAGTCCACATCTGGCAATACTGTCAGTGGACTGTTTCTCTCCAGGGTTCAGCCAGCACCTGCCCGGGGCGTTGGGGGCAGGTGTCTCTCCAGGGTCCCACCCGGGTGGATGGCACAGGGTCCTGAAACCTCCCCCCACATGCCTGAGGCTCCCAAGGTTTGGGGCACCTGTAGGGATGGCGACCCTGCAGCTGGTCAGACTGCCAGGAGGCTCCCGGAGCAGGGCCCTGCCAGTTGGGGGCACAGGGCAAGCAGGACAAAGGAATGAAGGGGACGGCATAGAGGACACTCGAGAGCAGCATGCAACTCGGGTCCACTCCTGAGGTCGGCCCCAGAAGCCCACCTTCCACATGCAGGGGCTCTGTGGGGCTCCAGCTTCCCTGGGTCAGGAATGCAGTCGTGGAGCACCAGAGGTCTGACTACTGTGGGTCCCGACACCTCCTGCTATAAAGAAGCCAGCGGGCCGATGGAGACAGGAAACATGCGGTGTGCGTTTAACACACTGTAAACATGTGTAGGATGTCGCACCTCAAGTGCGGATCTGCCTCTTCCTTCTGCTCACTCGAGGGCACAGCACCACAGTACAAAAAGGTTTTGAAAAATAAAAAGTGTGAAACCTCATGAGCTACAGACGCTGTGAGCCATTTCTTGGGTGAGTTTCGTGTCTCATCGGGACTCTCCGAAGCAGAGGGCGGTGGGCCGACTCACTGACTTGGGGACTCGCTGGCTCGCCGCTCACCACCAGCAGCGTGGGGCCTGACAGCGAGCTGACAGGTGCCGGGAGAACCCTGCTGGCACCCCTGTGTGCGGACTCTCCTGAGGATAACCAGGGCGCTTGGAACAGTGGGCGGGACTCATACCCGCACCTATGCACACACTCACATACCAGTGACAGCCTTCTCCATGCACGCTCAGCCATGCACGGACAGCCATGCCCACAGGCCCTGCAGAACCGAGTAAGACCCCACCAAACAGCCCTGTCTGTATGCTCCCGACGCAGGTCCTTGTCCTTACTAGTAGCGTCTCCACCCATGTCACAGCCTTCAGAACAGGAAGACGTCTTGAATGACCAGCATTTGAGGCCATGTTTTTTGATCAAGTTCATCAGCTGAACTCCTTACATGCACAGGGAGCTGTGGACTTTAAAACGTACCCTTACACACCCTTTCAGGAAGGGGACAATAATAGTTCCTTTGTACTGCGAAGGAAAATGACCCCATGGCCTTTCTGTTTCGCTGTTTCAGACCCTGGGTCCACTTTCACTACTTCACTCCTTAATGCTTTGGGCATCTAATCAGCGGCGGCGGGGCAACGTGCAGGGCACTGAGCGCTCCCTGGGGTGATGGGCACTGCGCCTCAATCCTCGTGGGGACACAACGTCCCCAAAGGGCCCCTCTGAACATCCGGGAACTTACGGGAATTCTCCCTGCTTCAGCCCAACAGCCACTTCCTGCCCCAAAGGGCCCAGGGGTCCTACAATGCTCCTCACACTCCAAGGTCACTGCCTGGCTTGAAGATCTGACGGGTGCTGGTTGGGAAGCTGAGCCGAGTTCCCAGCAGGCCTCCCAAGCCTCCACCTGGAGGAACTGGCCCTGGGGAAGCAGAGCCTGCGCCTGCCACCAAACCCATCTGCATGCCAGCGAGGAGCGCCATCGCTTCCACAAAGCCCATCCTACGGCCTCGACTGCCTGAAGACCAAGGAGAGGAGCCTGGCCCGCATCAGCTGTTTCAGCAGATGTGGGGCTCCGGAGCAGGATCGAGAGTGTCTGCAGGCTGGAGCTGTCCCCGTCCCACAGCCAAAGGCGTCCAGGGCTTGGGCAGGCTGACAGCAGAAGGGAGGGGCGGGCGCAGGAACCTCCCTGGGCAGGGCAGATTTCTGGCAGTCAGACACTGCTCTCCTAGGGCCTTGGATGTCTCATGTGGCCCACATCACATGGACATTAGCGCACCACGCCTCGCGTCCTAGAGGTCAGGCATGCAGCCGGTGGACAACACCCAGCCCTGATGCCCACATTGGTCCTGTCACCTCTACAGAAGAAACACATGGGTCCGGCTGGGCCGGCTGGGGAGCTCTGCCCATGCGCCCACTGCAGCCCGGCAGGAGCCGCCCCCCACAGGCTGCCTGGCCCCGATCTCAGGGCCTATTTGTGCCCCAGTACGCAGCCAGGCTGAGCACAGAGGGGAGACCCACTGCGGGGGCAGGAGCGCGGGGCCCCAAAGTGTGTGCACCCCGTTGTTCTGGAGCCGCATGAAGTGGCAAAGCCGGGGCGCTCTGTCTCCAGCTCAGAGCTGATGAGGAATTGGCTCCCGGCAGGTTCAGAAATGCTGTGGGTCCCACCTCAGTCTCCCCTTGAATACCAGCCTCCTGGGCGCGCTGCAGGGAAAGCAGCCTAGCAGACGAAGAAAACCATGTTCCTTTTTTCTTTTTTTGCAGCACAGGGGACTCAACTCAGGACCTCGCACTGCCCTCCCTCTGGCCCCTCCAGATTCCTGAAATTGCCTAGGCTGGTTGGAACTTGTAATCCTCCTGCCTCAGCCTTCCTTCTTGGCTCAGAAAATGACTTTAAAAAGGCAGAGACGGGCCGGGGATTTAGCTCAGTGGTTCCAGCGCCTGTCTCACAAGCGCAAGGTCCTGAGTTCAATCCCCGGTACCAAAAAAACCAAAAAAGGCAGAGATGTCCTGTGCTGTGCCCTCCAAGGGCGCCATGAGCAGAGAGATGCGATGTGAGATACGATGCCCCCCGTGGGTGACACTCAGGGCCACAGACACTCGGGTGGCTGCCCTGCCTCCAGCCATAGCAGTGGGGCCCGGAGTGTGGCCGGCTAGTGCCTTTGCTCTTCTGCTCCCGTGAACCCGGCTGCCTTGGCTGCCCGCAGCAACACCAGGTGTTGGGGATAGAGGTCCCACGGTGCACCCCACCTACCTCCGAGATGGACTTGACAAAGCGGATCCCATCGCTGGCGCCCTTCACCTTGGCCAGGCAGGCGCAGAGGTAGTCCCAGTAGTCCTTTCTGGTGCCCAAGAGGCTGGCCTTCTCCTTCAGGTCGAACTGGCAGGAGAGGGCAGAGAGAGGAGAGGAGGTCCAGTGCCCTGCTGCCCACCCCACCATGGAAAGGATAAATAAGCCAGGCATGGCGGCGCACACCTGTGACCCTAGCACTCAGGAGGCTAAGGCAGGAGGGTCACAAGTCTGAAGCCAGACTGGGCTACATAGTGAGTTCAAGGCCAGCCTGAGCTCTAGTGATTCCCTGTCTCAAAAAAAACAAAACAAAAGATAAATGATAACAAGAGCTTCCTGGGCGCTGGTCCCTGGGAGGCCCTTTGCAGGCATTATTTGTATTTACTGGCAAATTAGGCTATGTTAATCACACAATGAGGGTGCTTTCATGCCCCGTTTTTAGATGAGGAAACTGAGGCTAGGAGAGACTGGCTCAAAGACCGCTAACTAGTGAGATTTAGGGGAGAACAGCAGCCCCACAGGGCTGTCTTAAATCAGTGCGGGAATCACGTGGACAGTGACGTTCACGGCGTGCACACAGCATTCTTGGTTATTTCCAATCCTTCCCCCTTTCCCTTCCCTCTTCTCCATTACTGAGTGTCAGCCTGGTTTCCCACCACTTCTTCCTCCCTCCCTCCCTCCCTCCATCTTTTCTAGCCTATTTTCTACTGTATTCTTGAGTCTGGTTATTTTATTCAGAATGATGCTCTCAAGTTCCGTCCACTGTTCTGTAAAGGACACGTTTTCGTCCTTCTTCATGGCTGAATAATGCCCTATCCTGCAGCTCCTTGTCCGTTCCTCTGCTGACACGCCCCAGAGACCCATCCCTTGGAGGGACTCTGCGCAGAGTACAGCGGGAAACCACTCACGATGGGAATCACTCCAGCTCATGAGGACACTCGCCCCACGGAGGAAGAGAGATAATGCTATTTCATTCCACGTACTCAACTCTGAAGTTTCTGTACTGTTTTAGTGCTCACATAACAAACTTGAATAAATGTCAGCTGAGTCATTTCAAGCCCAAAACCAAAATGGGCTGGGGGGTGGTGCATGAACACTGACACTGCGCAGAGAATGAGCTGGAGCCCGAGGAGACGAGCCGCCCACATCCGCCTTCCTTGCTGGCCTCTCCTCCTCTGCTTTGGAGGGAAGCGACACTATAAGATGAGGGACAGATCTGGGTTCAACACCATTTTTTTCTGATTATGAAAGCCAGATATATAGAGATTGTTAGGGAATCGAGACAAAACAAAGTAAAACACAGAAAAGAAAAAACCGTGATGCTGAATACCACTGTCCTAAAATAACGGGGCTGCTTCCTTCCTGCCCTCTTCAGCTGATGTTTTCCACATCTGCAGAGCTCTAGCTCAGAACCTCAGGGCTGAGCAGGCCCAGGAGCTCCTCTAGGAGGACAGGAAAGTACCCAGCAGCAGGACCCGGAAGGACAGGGCAGGACAGAGCCCGCTGACCCCAGTCCACGTCACACAGCCGGCTCTGCAGCAGGGCGTCTGGGTAACCCTCGGAGAGGCCACCGCCCGGGAGGCTGTACCTACATGCGTGTCTACTTGGGGAGAGACTTCCAGCTTCCACCAGCTCTCAGGGACAGCAACCTCACAAGGCGAAGACCCTGGCTGTGCGCAGGCGTTGTGGGGACTGCCTTAGGGTATCCAACCTCTAGGGCACGCTCTCAATTCCCACCCCTGACAGGGCCCATCACCCCAGCTCCCCACAAAGGACACACTGGGGGAGGGAGCTATTGTGGGGCCAGCTCTGTCCTCCCGCTGACCACATCCTGAGAGCCAGCAAGTCACCAGTAGGTGGCACTTACCTGCAGCAGGTACTCAAGTTTGTAGGAGAACTTGTGTAAGCTGGGGCTGTCGTCAGTGATGGGCTCTCCCGCTTCCTTAAACTCATTGCTCAGTTCCGTCACCGCATCTTCAAGACAACAGACAGGGATGCGTGACTGGAGGGGAGCATGGAGGGAGGGAGTGTAAGGTGTGTGAGCATCCAGGGACCGGCGCCAGGTCCTTGAGTCTGAGTGTCCTCGCCGGCCCTGTCCACCCACCCCCAGGGCCGGCGATCTGCATGCAGCTGCGGTGCTGTGTTTGGACAAGTGTCCCCAAAGGTTGCATGGTAAAGGCTGGCCCCAGCCCCTGGCGCTATCCGGAAGTTGGACCTTCACGAGGTACAGCCTAGCTGGGGGCTCTCTGGTCTCTCGGGGGCGTGCCTCTGTGGGGCTCAGGACCCCAGCGCCTCTTTCTCTCCCGCTGCTTCCAGATCACTGTTGAGGTGAGCAGTTCCCCGACATGGTCAAGGGCATGGATGGGGGCTGTGCTGCAGGGGTGCAGACGCGGGCTCTGCTCCCGCCTGGCTGTGTGACCATGGGAGCTACTCAGCCTCTCTGTGCCGTCTCCTCATCTGCAGAAGGGAGTAACAGTGGCAGCGGCCTTACGGGGGCCCGATGCGGGACTCACTGAGTCAGGACTCGGGAGAGAGGCGCACAGTGGTGCCTCGTGCCCACGTCACTGCAGGCCAAGGCCCCAACCCGGAAATAAGGCATGCAAGAAGTTTCAGATTTGGGGGCATTTCAGCTTTCAGACTTTCAGATTAGGGGCGCCCAACTGGTAAATCTATAAATATTCCACAGTTGCAGTGTGCATGCCAGGTAGGGATCCTCAGCCTGTGTTAGCCATGGCCACCCGCGAAGCAGGAGGAGATGACCTGCCTGGGAAGTGACTTTTGTCTCACTGGCCTTGGCCCAAGGCCTGAGAACATGGACAGCAGTTCTGTGTCCGCCTGCTGGTGGGTCAGGAACGTGTCCCTGTGGACACAGGCACGGGGAGGCGGTCAGCTCTGGCTCGTGTTGTGGCTTACAACCGACCGAGGGACTGGGGTGGGTGGACAACGGGCCACAGTGCTGGCCTGGGGACACCACGGGAGAGGGTGACCTTGGGCCCCACAGCCTGCGAGAGGCAACCTGTCTCCTCCGTTTACAACCCCATGTGCAGCTCTGCCTGCCCCTGCCTCTCCCAACCCTGACTTGGGCCTCTCATGCAGGGACACCAGGAGCAGCTGGCCCAGCCCAGGAGCATCACGGGCAATGAGGCGGCTGCCAGCTGGGACCAGGCCGGGCAGCAAAACAAGACTGACAGGTATCACACCTCCTGCTACCACCAAAGAAGCCACCGAGGTCCCACAGCGGGAGCAGCGGGAGCCCCTCACCCTGAAACCAGAACGGTGGTGACTGTTGCCAAACTGCTGTCCTGTCATGCGAAAGGAGCACAGGCAAGCGCCCCCGGCCCCATGCACAGGACACCAGGGCTGGATGCTCCAATATCATGCGTCCTGGGCTCTGGCTCCTTCCCGAGGGCAGGCAAACCTTGCAGGTCGCGGATGATCCTCTGCAGCTGGCCCTCGGCACTGCTGGCGGCCATGGTGAGTCCCTGCTGGTGGCCGTGTGGTCAGAAGGGGCTGGGCCTGGGGCCGTCCAGTCAGCAGCTGTCACACACCAGGTCATACCGCCGAGGGAAGGAGAGACGGTGAGGGAGCAGTCAGAGACGCGGTTTAAGGGTGTTGGGGGACCCCTCGCTGGGCACAAGCCTGGCAGCCTCCCTGGGCAAGAAGCTGGGCCCCCTGCACGCCCGACTTTGTTTCCGGTGCATTTATACTCAGACCCAGCCCCCTGGTTTGTGGCTCACTGAGGCACCAGATCAACCGCGCAGCAGCATAGCCTGTCCCTCCTACCGCTCACCTTCTGTCCTCGGAGAAGCCCCCAGCCGCTCCCGAGCCCTGGCACCAAGGCTGGGCCCAGAGAGCCGGGTGCAGGTGGTGCCCCTCCGCAGCACCCAGCGCTCCCCTCCCATGCACCCCTCTTTCCGGAAGGGCCAGGACCTGTGCCGGGGCAGTGTCCCAGGGCACGTACCCTCAGGCCTTCTTTACAGGACAGCCTGGTGGCTGGGCAGGGATGTGCCGCCCTTGTGGGGGGTTGCAGCCTTCCACTGCCCACAGTCCGGCTCAGCCTGGGGTGCAGCCCACTGCCCGGCTGGCTGCCCAGGGCCTGTGCACCAGTCCAGGCATTTCTATTTTAGGCTTGGTTACAGTCCCCTCTCCTGCCGGGGAGTCCCCTACCCGGGCAGCTGTTAATGTGATCTAAGGTCACGGTGGAGGCCAATGACCAGCAAAGGTGAGACGGATCTCCTGGGACAGAGGCTGGATGCACGTTTGGACTCCACGAGTTCTTTCAGAACCTCTCACTCTTCCCATGGATAAAGGCAGGAATCGTGGTTATGGCATCCCGGCTGCTCTAAGGCCACACTGCAGCCTGGCGCTGCTTCCGGAGCAGAACACTAACTTCCGCCTCGCAGGTCGTGCACCGGAACCAGAAGTGTGCGCTTCACCTAGGGACCGGGCCCTCGTGTCCCCAGCACCACGTCCTCCCCTCGCCTGAGCGCAGCACACGATCCTCTGACCCTGAGGTCACTGGCCCTGACCCGAGCCGTCTGTTAATCAGTCTTCCCCCGAGGACGCTGGCCCTTGGACAAGCACAGGGCTCTTTCCTCAAACAGCACCTGGCTGCGCTCAGAGCTAGACGTGGCCCTGGGTGATGCTGCCAGGCCCTCCTCACCTTAGCCAAACACAGAATCCGGGCCTCCACCCCGCCAGATTGGTAGGCTTTGCTGGTCTGCGTCCCTTGGCCATGGGTAAACTCCACCATGCAGCCCAGCTTCTCACAGGCCGCGCCTCAGTCGGCAACCTCCAGTGCAAAGTTCAAGTTCACCAGCAAAAGCAGACGGCAGACTAGAGACGGCTGCGGGAGTGGCTGGCCCTGGACGAGGCCTGCCATGTGCACGCCGCTTTGCCTGCACATGTGACCGGTTTCCATTCTTAGCCCCTGGTTTACACGGAAGACCTGATGCACAGGGAGTAGGCCTGGGGAGCCTGGGGAGCCCACCGCCCCGAGTGTGTCCAACACAGGCCACTGCTCACCCTCCCATGGCCAGCGACCCCACACCCGCGCTGGGAGCCGGGCAAGGGCACCCGGAAGGGAGAAGGTCCCAGCCACATGCAACCCCAAATATTTACAGGGGCATCCTGGTGTCAGCATGGGGAGGGGCGGGCGGTCCCAAGACAGACGCCTAGGCCTATTTTTAATCACCAAGCCACCGCACACGGGCTGTGACTCCATGCGAACAAAGCCCAGTGAGGGCTTCCATGGCCTCAGGGGAGGAGGCAGTCGGGACAGGCCTGTTCCACAGTCCCAGGTCTTGACCCAGAGCCCAGAGAGCAGAGCCAGGGACCTTGAACGGAGGGTGGGAGCAGGTTAGGAGAAGCCCGCCCACCTGGCCCAGGGTGTCACCCGCGGAGCACAGTGACCAGACAGGCAGCGTCGGGGGCCGCCTGGAGAGCGAGGCCCAGGCTCGGTCAGCCCCTCCTGCCACAGGAGGACTTGAGGGCTCGGGAATCACTGCCCACACCAGCTGTCCAGCCCCCTCGCCTGCTCCGTGCAGGTTGGAGATACTGAGGCCCTGAGGCCCCGCCCCACCTGGTGGTGCTCAGCTGTCCAAGGAGACAGATGGGGAGATACCCTGGTTGCCGGACCAAGAGGAAGGGCCATTGCGGGGACACAGGTGCCCACCTCGAGGAGGGGTGCACACGGACACACAGCCCAGGTGGCCTCCAGTGGCAACTGCGAGAAGCCACTGGGGGACCCTGCATCCTGAACCCCGATATACGACATTCAGCAAGGGAGACGCTGGGGAGAAAGCAGACCGGTGGAGGCCAGAGATCTAGGGGCGCTGTGTCTCCATGGGGTGGGGGGCTCTGTGACTACACACCGGACAGATGCGTGTCAGAACACATAACTGAACTGCAGCTCGGAGTAACAGCAGCCTTGTGATGGAGTTTTGAAAACTGCTGGGAACCGGGGCAAGGACAAGTTGTCCTGCTGGGGAAGGGAGAGGGTGGTGGGTGTTCTGTGACAGCCACAGACCGGGCCAGGCCTGGAGAAAGAGGGGGTGACCGGAAAGGGGAGTGGCTGGGCTTCCCGCTGCAGGGTCCGAGGGTGAGTGGGGACGAGGGTGGCACTCACACCCGAGCCCAGGGAAGCCCGGCCCTGCACACTGGTCACTCTCACACTGCTCACACTGCTCACTCGTGGGCAGGGCTGGGGGCGGGGCAACGGCATTCTGCCAGCCCGGTCCACAAACCAGAGCCTCAGCACAGGTGGAAATGTGTTTGTCTGTTCTGTGGTACTGGGGGCTGACGTCTGGGTCTCTGCACCGAGCTGTGTCCGCCACCCTTTTTGAGACAGTCTGGCTAAACTGCCCTGGGTGAGCTCAAACTTGGGATCCTCCTACTTCAGCCCCCCAGTGCTGGAATGATAGTTATGGGCCACCACGCCCCTGGGGTCCTGTGCTTCTTTGAGGCCCGGTGCTGCCCTTATTGCAGGCTGACCTGGCTTCACAGCGGCAGTGTGCCTGCTGGTGTCGAGTTCCGGGTCACGATGCAGTTACACAAGCTGATTTTCCAGACAGCTGCAAGAACTTGGGCACCAGGCCTGTGGGTCACCGTGAGCTTCTTTACTAGACTCTGGGTGTCGCCTCCCTGGGGAATGGGAAGTAAAACCTATTTCCATGGACCCTTGGGGTTCTCCCCTCGACCTCCTCTGCCTGCTCCAGGTTGTCACCCACTGAGAAAGACATGGGGTGGGGCACCGTCACTCTGCACACCTGGTCACTGGCCCGTCACTTGGCAGCCCCCTGGCTGGGATCAGCGGGCTCTGGCATCAGTCAGCCCCGTGCTGATGCCCACCACCAGCCAGCACAGTGCTCTCCGAACTTGGGGACACAGCACGGCCATGCACAGGGTCATAGCCATCTGGGCACCAGGCAGGACGCACGGTCACCTGCAGGGACACAGGGTCCTGCTGTGGGGATGAGGAACCTTTCTTGATGTTCTCTGACGAGCTCCTTCAAACGTCAGAAAACCCTCAGCTGCCCTGCATGCCTGCAGCAATAGGCGCAGCATGCTAGTCCCAGATTAAGACGCGGACACTCACTGACTCACGTATGCTCACTTCTAACATGCACAGGCTGTCCAGAGACGCCCGCCCGGCTCAGCTGGGTGCTTCCCTAGTCCCAAACAATTCCACCCTGACCACAAAGGAACGTTCACAACAAGGACAGCTGGAGAAGCAACAAGCCTCTGGACGGGTCCACTGCCTGGGCCCAGCCTGCACACCCCATGGCGCCCACCGAGTCACCACCCCCAGGGAGTGCGTATCTGCCTGGTACCTGTGGCTCTGAAGGCCCAGAGGTCCTGCTGTCCCCTGCCCGGAAGCTGTGGGTGGGCAGCGGTGGCCTGGCAGGTGCCCTCGAGGGAAGCCCAGGAGTGAGGCTCAGACAGTGCTCACGGGTTTGGCAAGGCCAGCTCTGAGGGACGCTCCTCTGCGTGGTGAACAAAGGCTCGTTAGGTGACCCAGCCCCTGGGACTGGTGATTAAAGCGCTCACCAGCTGCGTGCTGGGCCTCTTTCCTAAAGACCCTTCTTCCTTTGATCTTTCTCTTAAAGGGAATGAGGCCTGGGGACCTTGCCACAGCTTCTCAAACCTTCTACTGACCACTCCCCCAATTGTAGGGTCTTTGGTCACTTCCTCAAAACACACACACAAAGCTTCCACAATTCTAGCCCACGGACCCAGGAGAGCAGGGTCAGAGGATCTGAGCCCAGGAGGAGCTGCGGGGACCTTAGAGACACTGGGAGGCTTCCAGGGAGGTGAGCAGAGAGCCCAGGGAGAGGCCACACATCCATCCCCGGGGCTGTGGGCCAAGGTCCTGCCTGGACCAAAGGGTGAGGATGGCAGGTGTGACAATCTGAGCAGTCTCCAGAACAAAAACACAGACAACTGAGTGATCAATGGTGCGTCTACTCCTGCTCCAAAGAGCACAAACCCCACCCAGGCAGGGAGAAGTGACAGCTCTCCAAAATTAAAGGCTCAGGGGACCTTCCTGACCAGTGTCAAGAGGGTTAGTCTAGCTAGCTAGGAATTCAGACCTGCAGCCCATAGAATATGACACGGCCACTGACTGTGGCCTTGAGGAAGACACAGGTAACCTCCCGTGCTAACAAACTGCCAGCTAGGCAAGAGGTGGTGTGGGCACCACTGTGAAGGGCAGGTCTGACCCAGGAGTGAACAAGACCCATGGGTGCAGGCCTGGTCTTCAGGGAACTTGTGCTCAGTGGGAGAAATGGGCAATGTTTTAGTAACTGGGACAGAATATCCCCCGCCAACACACACACACACACACACACACACACACACACACCCCTTAAGGGAGGACAGGTTTATTTGGCTCATGGTTCCTGTGGTTTCAGTCCATGATCAGCTGGTTCCAAGACAGAAACAGCATGGCTGCTCACCCCATGCAGCCAGGAAGCAGAGAGAATGACAAGAACACACCCTGCCAGGGCACACCCCAGTGACCCGTTTCTTCCCACCAGCCTCAGCTCTCTACAGCAAGTTCAGCGCTGAACTCACGAATGGGTGAATCCACTGATGAGTAGAGTGCCCCAGGATTCCGTCCTCTTCCAACAGCCCCGCCTCCGAGCACAGACTTTTACCTCTAAATCACCGCAGGTAACATACACCCCAATAAGACTGCACACAAGAACAGTCCCTTGTGGGCAGTTAAGTGCTTTGATGAAATGAATGTGTAAGACATGAAACCACACTCCCGCATGATGCCACACCTCAGCAGCAGGCCTCCCTCACAGTCGCCTTTCCCAGCGTTGAGGCCATCACCAGCACAGAGATGGCTCATTTCATCATGGTTCTCCTCTCAGTACTCATTTTCCCATGACCTAGCCCAGTTCCAGCACATGGAGAGCCCCCAGTAAACTACTTGCTGATTGAATGAATGAATGGATGAATGAATGACTAAAACACAAAACTGAACTACATCTTGAGGCAGGGAAATGTACCAGAAATGTGAATGATAGTAATCTGCCAATGTGGGAATGCGGGTAGATTTACTGTTAAAAACTCTTTCTCTGATTTTTAAATTTCCTTTGTTAAGCATCAGTTACTTTTTTTTTTTTTGGTACCAGGGATCGAACTTGGATCCTTGCACTTGCGCACCAGGTGGTGAAACCACTGAGCTAAATTCCCGGCCCAAGCATCAGTTACTTTCATGTGGACTACAATAATGCATTTCAAGATCATGTTGCAGTTGTGAGCGCTGTATTGCTGTTATTGTGAAAGTCGTTGGAACCACTATTCCCCAAGTGCGCAGAGTAGGCTATTTCAGGAATTACTGAGGGCTGGGTGAGTGTGTCCTCTCCTCTCTTTAGTGACATCCCCCGCTGTCCGCAGAGCTCAGATGACTACTGTTAGACACGTTCCCACCTCGTGGCCTGTCTTCTTCTCTCCCTGGGCTGCCCGAAAGTGGCCAGGGCCATGCTCCGTTTCCCCTGCCTAGTGCCCCTACCCCTCTCTGCCAGCTCCTCCAGACGTTCTGGTGTTAGCCAGGAGAGGAGGACATGTGCACCACTGTTTAGTCCCCAAGAAACCCTTCACCCCCATCCAGGACAATGGAACCGCTGTCCCCACTACCACATTCCTCTCATGGGTGGAACTGTGCCCTGACTCTTCCTGTTCTCATGTGAGGCCCTAATGCTTACCTCACAGAGTGGCTGCAGTTGAAGACAGGCTCTTTAGAGAGGGCTAAATTTAAGTTTAGCAGGCTAAATGAGGCCAGGCAGGTGGACTGCAATCCAGTCTGCCTGGTGTCCTTATAGGAAGAGGAACTTGGGATACAAAAGAAACACCAGCGCTGTGTGAGCACAGACGAAAGGCCACACGAGGACACAGAAAAAGGCAGCCAGTGGAGGAGCCCAACCTGCCAAGACCCTGATCGTAGACTTCCGGCCTTTACACGGGGAGAGAAGAAGCCACTGGGGTGGGACATCTTGCTATGGGGGCCCTTCCTTCTTCATTTCCAAAGTGTGGCTCTGCCACCAACTGGGCAGTCTGGGGTGCGACGGGGCTGTTGGGTCTGGTTCTGCTAGCCCCTGCAGGGAGGTGACCACAGCAGGACACGGCCCCACCCAGGATGGCTCGGTGAAGACCATGGTTGGGTGAGGCTCAAGATGTTTTTAGGTCGCCAGCTATGTATTTCCAGGCCACCTGTTTGTCCTGGGCAAGTTATCTGACCTCTTTCTACTTTCTTTTGCCTCAGGTGTCATCTTGGGAGATGACCTTGGAGGTACTAGGGACTGTTGTCCTTGCAGGAGGTGGGAAAGAGGAAGAACATTCTCAATGGCCAAGGCTTCTGAGTGCCCCTCCCTGCTCTTGAGCAGGTCTACAGCCGCCCTGGAAAGGGTACCTGCCCACAGGTTCAGCTCCAGGAAGTCCCTTCAGCTCCTCTGTAGCCCGAGCCTCTGAGCTCACCAGCACCAGACTGGGCTCTTCTGGGGACTCGCAGCTCAGCCCCCCATGCCTGTGGAGGGCTTGCACAGAATGCTGTTTTTTGGTCTCAGTGTTTCTTCTGCTAACTCGATTTCCTGCTCCAGGCCCATGGGTACCATCCTCAGGCTCCTGGGGGGCGGCGGAGGGGTGGGAGGAGACCAGGCCAGCCCTTGGGCCCACAGCCCAGCCACAAAGCCACAGTTCTGTAACAGGGACACACACATCCTCTTCTCTGCAGGAGACAGAGGCCTTCGGTGCCTCTCAAATGCCACAGCGCCCCACGTGAACAGGAAGGGCCGCTAGGTCACCAGAAAGCTAACCGGCTCCAGTGTGAGACCAGCGAGGTCAAAGAGCTCCCTCTGCCCAACCACACATAGCCTCTGCCTTTCTCCTCCCAAGGCCAGGATGGTACAGAGACCTCAGCCATTTTTAAACGTTATGCATCAAAAAAAATTGCAAGAAAGTAGGCAACATTCCCACAGGCATCCAATTTCTTATCGTCCTAACTTACTTCACTGCTCTACCTGAGGCTCAAGTACTGTTTATTTGAGCGACCTAAGAAGACAGCAGATGTCAACATGGCCATGGCGAAGCTCCTGAGGTCACAGGCCCGCTTCCTGGGCTGCTGGCACCAAACGTGATTCCTAACTTGAGTTCTACCAGTTCCCGTCACACAGTCACCACTAGACAGTCCACTTCCTCTGCCTCATGTTTAAAAACACACTGGTATTGAGTGACAGGTGTGTGGTCTTTAGAATCTCCGGAAAATGTGGGCTGCCCATGAGCTAAAGCCCTTCTGTAAAGGGAAGCCAGGCCTGGCAGGGGGTGCATTTCTTGAGTACCAACTCTGTCTCTACAGCCGCAGAGACCCTAGTCAAAGCTGACATGTGCTCTGACCTTGCTGTTACAGATGGCACCTCGAATCCCAAACGCCTGTGGGGACCATCCCACCTGGAAGGACCAAGCTGAAAACTTGGCTCCTGAACCAGGCAGGGACCCCAAACCCAACCCCAAGTGGCAAAGGATCAGGCACGAGTTCACTGACTAAGCTATTATCAATCTCTTAAGCAAACGCAGAAATAAAGTAAAAAACTAAGAGTAGACGAAGGGTCACTATACAATTCTTGCAGAGTCCAGATGTTTACCTATTTGCTTAATGAAAGATTGAAAACTAAACAAAGTGCTACACATAGATGAGCACTTTTTTTTCTTTCTGGTATAAGGATTGAACTCAGGATCTTGTGTTTTTGAGGCAGGCATTGCTACTGAGATAAACCCATGGCCAAGATGAACACTTTTCATGGAAGCAGATAAACACTGTTTCCTAAAACAAGAGCCTTATCAGATCCTTCTAATCAGAAGATAGCCATCACCGTGACGTTAACTCTGACTTCCGAGGAACACAGCTAGCACAAAGCCTTCAGTGCTGTAGAACAGCGGCTAGAGACAAAGGGTCAAGAGCACCCACCAACCCAGGGCCATTTCAGAAGGGGGACACTGAAAGCAGAAATGCACAGCCCGGGCCCCAACAATTACCACCCCGTCAGTGGAGAGCACTAGGCAGATGGCAGGGAATTAAGCTTCCGCAGGAGACCACAGGGCCCACAGCTGTGGGAGGGCAGGGTGCAGATTAAGCCCTGATCCGATGCCCCTAAAAGGTCCCTGACCCATTCCTCTGCCGGGAAAGGAAACTGCTGCGGTTAGACAAGCACAGGGACTGAGAGGCCAGCTCAGACGGTGTCAACAAGCGCTCTACTTCTTTCCGGAGGGGACAGCCAATGGGAACAGAGAAAGACTGAGGGGGGCATCTCAGAGCACATGTGCATTAACGAGAAGCCTCGTGGGTAGAGTTGTCAACCGCATGTTTTTCTTATGTAAAGGTGAAATTCAGTCTTTCCTCTGTACACCTAGCCTCGGGGTCTGCATAGTACAGTTCAGACCGTGCAAGAGGCTACCGCGAGACCTGCTCCTGGCACAAGGGCCAGTGGCAAAGAGTGCCCAGGGCAGAGGGCAAACCGTCTCCTCCCGGGAGGGGGCAGGGCATCAGGGACCCCGCGCTGAGGCTCTGGGCTGTGCCGGCCCAACTCAGCCGGGACCGCTGCTTCCTGGGGGCAGTGCCAGCAGGACCTGCAGCCTGGGCCCCGGGCTGGCACCGAGACCCCCAGCCGGGGTCCCCTGCGCCCGCCATCCCACAAAACAGAAGTGGTGTCTGGGATCCACCTGTCTAACCGGTGCCCGGGCACCCTAGCCCCAGACCCCTTACTCTGGTGACCCAGAGGTGACGGGGGCCGCCGGGCAGGGCTCGCGGGGACCCGGGTCGGGAGGGGACGCTCTGGGCAACAGGTGACCCGCGGCGCCCGAGCACACTCTCTTCTAGGGTGGAGAGCGGCCCCAGCGCCCCCAGAGCCCCGCAGGTTGCCGGCGGCACTTACAAGCTCCTGGGTCCCCCGCCGGGCAGAACCGAAACTTTCTGGGGTCAAGCGGAAGAGTACGCGAGCGCCGCGCAAGCAGCCATGACGCGCACTCCTGCCCGCAGGCGGAGGCGGACTACAACTCCCGGCATGCCGCGCGGGGCAGCGGCCTCCAACTCCCATCCGACCGGCCTCCAACTCCCATCGGACCTCGTGGGCAGGAGGACGCGGACCACGGCTGCCGGCACGGTCCCTTCGCTGGTCTCTGCTCCCCAGCTCCTACCCACGTGCCTGCCAAGCCCGCCCTCTTTGCACTTCGCAGTCGTGGGGTGAGATTGTGCCCGTAAGTCAGGTCTGGGTCCTTGCGAGAAGCGCTATGTGTGGCTATTGAGCATTTGATGTAATATACACCAGAATTTCAAAGATTTGTCCAAAAAAGGATGTAAACTAGCTCACTGATATTTTTATATTCTTGCATGTTGGCAATATTTTTTTATGTATTGGGGTAAGTAAAAAACATTTTATATTGCTGGACCTCATATCTCATCTTTTGTTCCCCCTCGTTAACTCAGGGATTTAAAAATCTGGGTTTAAAACTGTGTTCATTAACGAACTACCCCACAACCCCAGCCAGTCTGTGCTGATAAGTTGGAAAGCTGGACAAAATAGAACACAATGCATTCAGTGAACAGTGTCTGCCAGGGGCACAATAGAGAAAAGCAACAGCACCCGGGGAATTTCTACCAGGGATTGAAGCTCTAGCTGCCACGGTGCTCTTTGCCCAGGTTCCCACCAATTAGGTTAGAAGCGGCTCTCTCAGGACTTAACTAATGAGGAGTCCGCTGATAAGCCCAGCGCCTCGTGATCCAGCACCCTCCACACACGTGAGACTTGGGGAGACATTGCAGATCTAAACCATAATGACCCTACTATTGATTTTTTCAACAGCCACCACCAACTGAAAACTTTTTAAATTTTAAAAATAAGCTCTTCATAATATAGATTTAGGCTCCCCCCCCCCTTTGAGTTATAATCAGAGAAAATAGTATTCCTCACAGAAAAGGATGGCCATTGTTCCTGGTAAACCAGGAGAGCCCTGTTATTCCATCATGAATATTTTTTCACAACAAATTTAAATATAATCCAGAATGGAGGTTAACATTGTTTTCCATCTCCCCCTCTCTTTCCTTAGTCTCTTCCCTCCCCTCCCTCTGATCCCACTTCTTATTTAATACCAAACCTTCTACTTTCATGTTATTTTGTTTATTTCTAGAGTCCATATGTGAGTTTAAAAATGCAATACTTTTCTTCCTGAGCCTGGCTCCTTTCACTTAATATGATGATCTCCAGTTCCATCAGTTTTCCTGTAAATGCCACTATTTCTTTCTTTATGGCTGAATAATACTCCATTGTGTGTGTGTGTGTGTGTGTGTGTGTGTGTGTGTGTGTAATATACATACCATTTTTCTTGATCCATTCGTCTGTTGATGGCAGGCATATAAGCTGATTCCATATCTTGGCTACTGTAAATTGTGCTAGAATAAATGTGGACACACAGGTATCTCTATAGTATGCTGACTTTGATTTCTTTAGGAATATACCAAGGAGTATAGAGCAGGATCTTATGGTCTTTTTTTTTTTTAAAAAAAAAAACAATATTCCATAGTGGCTGTACTAATTCACAGCATCACTAGCAGTGTAGATGGTTCCTTTTCTTCTGCATCCTCCCCAGAATTTATTATTTTTTGCATTCTTGATAGTAGCCATTCTGTCTAGGGTGAGATGGAACCTCAATGCTGTTCTAAACACATCCACAGAGTCTCCCTACTCTCATCCAGAGATGACGGGAGGGGCATCTGTGTCTTTGTCCTTTGAATCTGGGCTGAGCTGCAGGAATCGCTCCTGACCTACAGAGGGTGGCAAAAGTGATGTTATGTCACTTCCGAGGCTGGATAGGAGTGGGCAGTGCAGTCTCCACCCAGTTCCCTGGGGTTGTTGTCTGCAGGAGCCAGCTGCTATGTGATTCATCCAGCTCTCTGAGAACTCCCTGCTGGAGCGACCACACCTACAGCCAAGTGGTGCCCAGCTGGTACCAGCCTCATCTGCCAGGTATGTGACTGCACTGTGACCTTGATTATCTGTCTAGTCAAGCCATCCCAGGTGAGAACTGTTCTGCTGAGCCCTTCCTGTATTTCTCATCCACAAAGTCATGAGTGGATCAAATGGTCATTTTAGGTTGCTAAGTGTCAAGATAGCTTGTTAGGCTGAAATGGTATCTGGCATTGAAATCTGGTGCTCAAGTTGGGTGGGAAGAGTGAACTGTGTCAGTATTCTGGCTTAGATCCAAAATGTCTCCACGAAAGTTCATGTGTTCAGAGGATAGGCTTTTGGAAGGTGTTTGGATCTCAAGGGCTCCGTCCAGTGGGTTAACCCACAGAGAAGGTTGTACTTTGACGGCATCACCAGGAGGTGATGGAAACAGGATGTGGAGCCTGGTTGAGGAATGATGATAGGACTGTGACCTTGGGAACTATATCTGGTCCCTGGGTCCCTCTTTTCTGGTTCATGTCTGCTGAGAAGTGAGTGGCTTTCTTCCACCGTGATGGTTCTGCCTTGTTACAGGCCTAATAATAGTGCAGCTAACTGACCATGAACTAAAACCATGGGCCATATAAATCTTTCCCTTCCTAAGTTGTTTTTCTTAGACATCCCATCATAGTAATGAAAAACTGACCAACACAGTCATGTAGGGAATGGGAAAGGGGCTGTTACCAGATCCCCTGCAGTGAGTCCTGGTCTCCTGTGAGCCATGATAGCACAAGGCGAATTAAAGAATAAAAACAGGAAATAAGACTTAGAGAGAAGCTGGGTCTTAGGACTGATCAGTGCTGTTCTAGCCAACAAAGACAAAGGCCCCCAAGAGCATCCAGTATTTATTGAATACAATCGTGGGAAGGTATGCTTTGAAGGCATCTAGTGAAGCACTGCCCAACACCTGGCATGATGGCACCAGGCAGAGCTGTCAGGGAGTCAGCACTGCTTATCCTGCTTGGATAGAACAAATCGGTACTGGGACTGGGTGCAATTAGGAAGCAACCCGTCGGGTCAGTGAGAAGCCATAATTCTGGGCAAAGGATTTTAATTGGGGTCACACTGATCTCAGCTGCATGTAGCTCAGCAGAGCCCTGCCACTTCACAGACCAGGGCTTAGGCCTCAGTGATAGCCATTAGCAAAGGAGCAATACTAGCCCAACTCTGCTAACTGACATGTCCATTTGAGTCACGTAGAGCTTTGGTCTGACTCCTGATACAAAAAGTATAGCCAAAATAGGGAAAGCAAGAAGCAGGAGCCACTCATAGCCCACTAGCACTGGGCAGAAATGTCTGCTGCAATCTGGAGCCCACCTAGAGAGCCAGCTGCAATCTAGTTAGAGGTTTTGGGGATCACTGTGCTTTTGGGGGGATGTGGTTACTCTCGTCTCTCAGGCAGCCTCTCTGGCAGTCGCTGAGTCCCCCCTAAAGTGGACAGATGAGCTGGGCAACTGGGAAAGGAGACTGTCCCGGAAGCCACCTGCACTGTACAATGGTCACACCCACTGAGCTCGACCTGAAGGCTCCAAAGAGGCCCCTTTCCTGGGAGCCCTGCGTGTTTTAGGAGCTGGAGACCAGGCAGGAATAAGCAATGTGTGTCTACGTGAAGAAGTGTTGTTCAGTGTGGGAGTACCGCATGCCCAGGTGGGAAGCCACCTTCCCTCGGAGGGGCACCCAGACCCACGGGCCCTCCCTCCCACCCTGCAGTGGCCGGTGGCATCTCCACTGCAGTGTTCCTTCCTGAGGCACTTCCCCTTGTCCTCCTCCGAGCGCCTTGTCCACCTGCACATGCGTCACCCCCTCCTTCAGTAGAAGGAGGGACCCTCATAGGTGAAGGCACCCGGGGACCGGAGGAATGGGGGTGGGCTGGGCACCTGAGGTCGACGCAGCCTTGCCTGCTGGAGGAGACTTTTGAGGTGCCTGCGGAACTTGACCCCCACGAAGACATAGAGCACCGGGTTGAAGCAGCACTGCGAGAAGGCCAGGTTGCGGCAGACCAGCACCACGAATTCCAGCCGCTGGCTGGTCTCGCAGCTCTGGATGATCCCGACCGTCACCAGCGTCTGCAAGAACATGATGAGGTTGTAGGGGGCCCAGCTGAGGAAATAGGCCACCACGATGGTGAAGATGAGCCGGACCGTCCGGTGCCGCTGCTTGGACCTGGAGCGGAACAGGGTCCTGAGGATCTGCACGTAGCAGAAGAGGATGGTCGCCATGGACAGCAGGAAGAAGATGTTGTGCTGGTAGACCGAGGCCAGCAGACCCTGCTTTTCCGCGTAGGTGCACTGCGAGTCAATCACCTTGTGGGAGATAGCTTCGGGGACAGAGGACAGGACGCTGGCCGCCCACACGGCAGTGGTCAGCAGCACACGGCAGCGGAGGGTGTGGACCTGCAGCGTGGACAGGGGGCTCACCACCGCCAGGTAGCGGTGCATGGTCATGAGGGTGAGGAAGAAGATGCTGCTGTAGAGGCTGACGGAGAAGGTCATGCTGAGCACCTTGCACAGCAGCTCCCCCAGCACCCAGCCCAAGTGGTGCGCCGACGCCCACACGGGCAGCAGGCAGGAGAACACCAGGTCCGACAGGCACAGGTTGAGGATGAAGAGGTTGGTGAGGGACTCGAGGGTCTCGTACTTCACCAGCACCCACAGCACCAGGCTGTTGCCCACCAGGCTGAGCAGCAGCACCAGAGAGTACAGCACGGTGGTGGTGAAGGCGGTGACCATGATGGCCTTGTTCTCACACAGGAGGCTCCCAAGGTCGTAATGAAAATAGTCAGTGGGCTCGGGGGTGCCCCAGGACTCCATGTGGACCAGGCGGTGGGGACGCTGAGTGTGTCTGCAATGACAGACAGGTGGAGCTGAAAGCTGTGTGGTGGGACTAGAAACCCCAGGACCCTCGTAGCAGAAAGGAAGGGCAGCCGGGCCTGGTGGTGGGAGCCGGTAATCCCAGCACTCCGGGAGGCTGAGGCAGGAAGACTGCATGTTGGAGCCCAGCCTGGGCAACTTAGTGAGACCCTGTCTCAGCATAAAAAATAAAAAGGATGTGGCTCAGTGAGAAGGCCCTGGTTTCAGTGCACAGTACAAGAAAAAAAAAGCATGACCCATGCATCAGCTGCCATTGGCCAATTTTTTATAATATTTTTTTCATTCTCCATTTTTCTGTTTTCCTGGGGATATTAAACCCCAGTGAGCTATCTCCCTAGCCCTTTAAAAATTTTTAATTTTTTATTTTCTGAAAGGGAAAAAAA